CCGCTCCCTGCCCTTAGAAAAAATGTCCATCTCCTCTCGGTTCTCCTAATGTGTTATGCTTTCCTCCTTTTTCTTCCCTTTTCTTGTTTGTAAGTTTTATTTTTGTAATTGTGCATGTACAAGCGTCACTGACTCAATGGATATGTTTAAAAAAAAAAGAGATTTCTGCTGCTGAAGCCATGCAAAACATTTTGAATTGCCCTTAAAATATGGAAGATGTTTTCTGAATGCTTTATATTCTTTCTGCTGTAAAATAATAAAAAAGGAGAAAATGAAGAAAACTTGAGAACCTATTCTGCCATGTCTTTTTGCTTCGTCCTTTACTTTTATTGTTATTCTCTCACTTTCCTACCAGTACATTCCAGTTAAAAACAACTGCAGAGAAATAGCATATTTGATACTTTTCTTTTATTTTTATTCCTCGTAGCATTTGATTTTTACATCTCAAATAACTTTGAATACATACAAAGATCTTAACACGGCTTTCCACAGTTTAAAAGTAAATCAACTGAAAGTAAAGGTTTGAGCCTTGGAAACATGTAATGTATGCATGCATGGAGTTTGATGTTTGCTTTGTCTGCCCTGTAAAAGTGTATCAAGCATATGTTTCCCTCTGGATTAAGCACTGCTTGTTGTAAGGCAGATATCCAATTAGCTCGGTTTTTAGACGCAGTACTTCCAGAAACACTCAGAATTTCCATTTCTCTTCCTTAACTGCTTACGGATGCCCAGCAAGCGGCTGTAAGGTTTCAGAAGACCTTGTTTCTCTAATAAGACCTGAAAGAGATAATATAGTGGTTAGATATCTGTAGTACCGTGTGTAACATAAGAGTGTACAGTTTAAGTTAGAAATACGGGTCAGTTCCTTTTAAAAGTATTCAAAAGTGTTAATTAATCAGAAACCTGAATTAATTTTCCTGAAATTTCATGTGATAGTCCAATACAAGCTAATTGTTCATGGGAGAAAGTATATGCTTTACAAATGTTTTTTTACGAAGAAAATCTTATACATTTTTGATGAGAGGTGGTGGTGGAGGCATCGTGGTGAGGGAATGCATTCGCTTATCAGAGAATTATCGCATCGAAGTCTTTACACCATCAATTTAATGTTATTTTGTAAGGGAGAAAGACAAGGGTGCCCCATTTGTGTGATGCTGGCAGACCCTCACCTCCAGAAACAAAAAGTAATAAATGCTTTCCACACTTTTCATCTTCTCATAATGATTTTCATTTTTCCTTCAGCTGCATAATTATGCACTTTACCTTGGTCTGTAATAAAATCTGTCCAAAATGCAGCTTAGTTTGTAATTTTTCAAGAGATATTGTTTAAAGATTCTGTGGTTAAGATTTCTCTTTCCCATTTTCAGGATGTAAATGTTTGAAGTCACACACCTCTCTCTTGACTCCTCTTGGCACCAGATTTGTCGTCCTGACACCTGAGGGATAAGAACACGAGGGATTCGACACGATTCGAGATATCCATTGTCTAGCACCTTGTCTTTGCAATGTTTCCCTTCAGGCCATACCTCAAGTAGATGAACATTGTAGAAAAATGGCTTCAAATTTGTTCTTAAAAGTGTCTCTTACCATCTCTGTTAACTTCCCCAGATATAAAAGTGGAATATCGGAGAGCTGCACCGTCCTGAGGAATAAACGTTTGCTCAGGAAGAGACTCGTCATCCAGCGTTCCGATAACGCCATCCTCCACTGACGCTGAGGTCAAACATAAATTTAAAAAAGTACATAAAAATTTTTCAAACACTGAATGTTTTCTAATCCAAAGTAGCGCTTATAGTCACTTCTAATCAACAGAAAATTGACTGCATGACTAGAACCACTCACATTCCTTTGCCTGCTAGCTGAACTTTGGCAGAAAAATCACTGCTGAGCATTGCAGCACTCAGGTAATTATTTTATGGCCCCAGGTTAAGACTCTGCTGTCATTAATCTCTGAAAATTAAATTGTACCACGGAAAATGCTAATTACCCATCTTAATTGATGGATTATTTTTCATAAAAGCCATAATAGAGGCATCATCCTTTGCTCACCTGGTCCTGGATAGGGCATCTCGGCCGATTCTGTGATAGGGTGGGCCAGCAGGGTGCCAGAGGCCACAAGCACAAAGGCCCAGGAGAAGAGATGGCTGCACTTCATTACTGCCTGATGCTGTTGTGGGAAGTGGCTCTGATTTGCACGCAGGTCCTCTGGTGAAGACTTCTGCATGCGCCGTGGCCCCAGTTGTTTTATATACCTCCAGCTGGGTCTACTCCTGACTGGCACGGCACACGCACACACACGCTTTTGTTTGCTGCCACAGCCGTCGGCTACATGCAGAGTCACATCCGCTCTCGCTGGCATAAATCAACAGGGACACGCAGGTGAATTATGGACTCAATAAGAAGACGCCGCACTGTCCCGTCTTCCAGAGCCAGCGGTCATTTTATTTTACCAGCTCTTTGGCTTGATTAACCAATTTCACAGAGTTTATAAATGTTATTAAAGCAGGTGCGTAGATTGTCATGTCAACACCCACACTGGGGAGCAGGTGGCACACAAACGGCGCAGATGAATCACTTCCACCTTTATGTTACCTCTTTGTTCAAGTCTTAGGTCATCTGACTCCTAAAACCTTGTTGCATACGAAGTAGAGAGAGATCCTAATAAACCAAAGTAATTACTTCATCAGAAGTTCAGGGCAGGCTTAAGTGTTCATAACCCTCTTTTCTTATGAGCTGCCTGACATTTTAAATCAATTCAAGGCAGCAGGAGATTTTCCACAGGTCACTTAATTCAGCCTGATTAATACACAATATTTAGAAGCTTGGTAAGGCTGTGCGACTCTGGGTCTCTGCTTTCTCCTCTTCTTAGTCATGCAATAAACCCAACCTTTATGAGCGTATCCAGTGTGGTTGGATAGTGTAATAGCAGCTTTATTACTGCTGAAAAAGATGAAAGACAGCTACTTACAAAGTTACATTTTCCACCTGCGGTTGCAATTTCCGTATTTACTAGAGGCATTTTGTGGGCAGCTGAAGAGGCAACATTAAAATTTATGCTTGGGAAGTTAAATACCAGTTTTGGTACAATTAGTTGAAAATTTAAATCTATGTTTGATATTATATTCATGTGTGCCTGTGGATGTTCAAACTTAATTTGTTTTAATTCTGACATTTGAACTTTATATAAAGCTGAATGCTCTGCAAAACAGTTAGTGGAGAAACAGTAAATGTTGGAAGAGCCAAACACAAATTGATGAAGATGATGCTAAGAATGGAGACTGGAGAATGGAACTAATTTAATTTCTGTTTTTCCTTAAACTGCTGTTGCCTCTGAGCTCCATAATCCATCAACTTTGTGCTCCAAAGGTCATTAATTATGGGGGTTTTTTGTCTTGTTTTGCTTTGACACGTACTTTGTATTTTTCTCTGTTTACTTGGATGCCAGGCACAGACTCTATCACTTATGAAATTATTTATGTAGTAGAAGGAGTGTCTCCAAATCCCATTTTTGTGGAGCAAAACTGTACAGACACTAGTAGGTAACCAACTTCATTACCTACTTGTGAAGGTAACTTATGGTTATCATAGGGCATTTTTTGACCCAAAATGGCAAGACAAAAAAATTATATTTTACAGCTGTTTTCAACAAATTCCAGTAGATTAAATATGAAGCTGTAGTTTTGCAAACATACACAGAATGTGTGTAGCAAAATGAGCAGCTATTGTATGATTCATTCCCTGAAGATACTGATAAATAAAAATAGAATCATATCCATTTTTTTTTTTTTTTTGCTTTGATTGCTACTTAGTACATCTACTCTAACATGGTTGCTTAAAGTGGCAGTGCTTGTTGTTTTTACCTTATAATAAATGGTTTATGTCCTTACAACAGCTCTCAAATACTTTGAATTAAATTGTTGACGTTAAATCCTGTATCATTTGAAAAAAAGGTGTTGTGTATTTTGTAAAAAAAAAAAAAGAAAAGAAAAGAAGAAAATGAAAAAATTTGTTCCCTTTCTAAAATAAAATGCTTTGCCTTTATCATTTTCTTTGGTGTTACTCTGTAATAGAATCTAAATTCAGTCAGAAATTATCAGAAATACTATATACTATTGTGAGTCATTGCAGCTCAATAGCATAATAGTTAACTCGTTTATTTATTAATTTGTTTAGAAAACGGATAACTCTTATTTTCTCGATGGAGAACTTCTACGTAAGATTATTTTTTCATGTGACCAGTCGTTTCCACGGTTGTTGATTTTACAACAACCACTAGAGGGCAACGTTTTCTTTAGGAAGCTATTAACTAAACAAGATATTTGTTCTTGGGGTAAAGCTGACATTTTTACTGACGCTCTTCTTCTTTGATTCTTTAATATCCTAGTCTGAAACCACAGACATGGCCTGAAACCTTACAGGCTTTAAATAATCAGTGGTGTAGGACCGAATAGCACGGATGAAAATAAGTGTAAGCCAGTTTTTGTACATTTCTAAAATTTCTGCATGAAATGTGAGATTAGTTTATACTTAACCAGCTCTCAGATGACACCTATTTCTAAAATGGCACCGTTTGGGTTTAGATAAGTTTTGTTTGATGATGAAAAGGTTCACAATAACATATAAAGATTAAACAAAAATTGAAAAAAGGTTTTTAACGTCTCAACTTTCAGACTTCTTCCAAGGAAATTTGAGTGACTGGATCATTTGGATTAATTGCGAGATAAATAAGTGACAACCATCTGAAAGGTGATGACGGCAAAACAATTAAAAACTTTATTGCTATGCGTGTCGGAACCAAACAAACCCTTACCTACGGTGATTGGTTCACTTGTTTCTGTCGACTAAGCTTGTTTAGTAAACATATTTCACCCTTTTTTCCCATCTAATATTCACTGGTGTTTAATAAAAACAGGCTTGAAAGCGTCAAGCTAGTGTTGGCAAAATCAAATTTGGATCATGGAGATTCGGATGCTGGAGGTGTACGTGAAGGCAGCATTGAATGGCCGCCCCCGCCCCCGCCGCCGCCGCCGAACAGGAGCTGTGAAGGAACAGCCCCACAGACTGCTGGCTAAACTTTGTCCCCTCTGGTTTCTCTCACCGAGCCGACACCTCTTTGTTTCTGTCGGGGTCAAGTACCGCCGCTTTCCCGAGGGCTTCACACCGAAACCACAGGCGTTAGAGACGGCCAGGCGCGCTGGTGGCAGCTCCGATAATTTGCTGAGATCCACAAAAGAGGAAGAGGAGGAAGGAAGGAGGGAGAAGAAGAAGGAAGGTGGGACTGAGCGGAGCTTGGAGAAGTTGACACTTCGTTGTTATGTTGGGTACTTGTTGAATAAGCTGCGTGTACACACAGATACGACACTGCGGCCTTTGTGGGCAGCGAGCTGGAAGCTGGTAGGTTTATTATAATTTTACCTGTATCGATTATTGGCTTGTTACGTTGCCGACATATTTGTTTACACTGTTGCAAACCTGAAACCGGCCCGAAAGTACAGGTTCCATTGATGACGATGACCAGCCAGTAACAGCAGTGTTTACACTACTTCTTCTTTATCCAACTCATTTAACCAAAACTTGATGTATTCCCTAAAACCCCCAAGTATTAGGAAGCATTTTTCAGTGTGGCAGTGGCTTATTTTTAAAACCTTGTTAACCATCATGCCTTGGATAAGACCGTTGTTGCTTTTTAAACTTTTTTGTCTTTGTACTCTTGTGTTACTCAAGTGTTTTCATAATGTTTAATGTTTCACTTCTCTGTTTTGCCACAAGTCTCATTTCATTATTTCACACAATACACCCCCCTCTGTGATGTGCCAGGGTCTTCTAAAACACCATGAAGGAGTGAGAAGTGGGGGCAGAGATGGCAGAGCTGGAGATCGACCAGTCCAACCTTCCACGTGTCCAAGAAGGTAAACACACACTCTCTCTCACACACACACACACTGAAATATATAATTCCAGCCTTGATAGAGCCACAAGTGCATGGAAAGTATGTGCTGGAAAGAAGTCGGTGTGGTAAGAAACCAGCCTCTGTTACTAATCTGCAGACTATTTCATTCCTCGCTAGAACACACTTCTGCTGTCAAAACTGTCTTAATTGTTCATGACATGGAGTAAATGTTGCATTATCCTATTGGAAGTAGCTATATGGAGATCTGTACTCTGACAGTATTGATGCTCAGATAGTGTTTAAAGGATGTTCAGTCGGCATCGAGGTGCAAAGAAAACATCCCCCAAACTATTACAACCCCAGCAGCCTGAAAATGGATTCAAAGCAGGACGCGTCCAATCCAAACTCGGAGATAAAGACTCATTGGACCGTTCCATGTTCTCCAATTATTGCCTCGGTTTCCTGTTCGTCGCTGACAGAAGTAGCACTAGATGTGGAGCCGTGCTGCTGTCGCCCAGTTCAACACGTTGTGTTTTCAGAGTTGCTGCTTTGCGTACTTTGGTTGTAATGAGTCGTTATTTGAGCCACAGCAAACCTTTTCTATCGTCTTGAACCAGTCCACCTGATTTCCTTTCAACTCAGCTGTTGTGTCATATTTCCATCCACAATCGTCCTAAAATATATTCTTAAGACGATTCTTTGTAAAGCTGAGAGACGGTTGTGTGTGAAGCTTCCAGTAGATCATCGGTTTTTAAAATATTCAAACCAAAACCAACCATGCCATGTGCAAAGTCACTTAAATCATTTCCTTAACTATTATGATGCTCAACACGCATTAAGTTGTTGCCATGTGACTGGGTGACTTGCTATTTGTGTTAACCAAAACAGTTTATTAGATGTGCCTAATAAATTGGCAGGTATGTCAGCAGAATTTGTTTGTATCACAGAACAGCTGCTTGCCTGAAAAGTTATTGAAAGAACTTTAAATGACATCAATATCATTGAATTAAAAGTTTCAGCATACAAAATTTTAAGTTCTGTTCCTAAACTGTGACCTATAATCAGAAAAAATAAAAAAAAAATTCTACAAATCCTTGGAAGAAACATTCAACAACTATCTTTTGTAAACAAGCGAACCGTTGTAGCTGTTAAATGTCAATTAATTGACTTGTAGTAGTCTCTTTATTCAGCGCAAAGGTCAAGTTCATTAGAAAAATCTCAGTGTTCCTGATAGCGCCGTGTTTTGACTCATTTCAGTGAGCAGTGCAGACTTCCTGTGGGTTGAGTCTTTGGCTCCATCTATGCAGGAAGAAGATGATACCAGTGGTTTAGAGTAGGAGGGAATTTTCCACACAAAGGTTCACTGATTCTGCTGTACACAACTGGATTTGTCGTTGACATCGCTGGTATGCTGAGGGCAGATAAGCATTAGGAAATGACTGAAAAACTCGAGGCTTTGAATGCAAAATACACAAGGATCCTCATGTGTCCTCGTTGTTTAAGTTATCTTTACTGATATGTGGTGGCTTGGTAAAGTAGCTTTTCAGTTTGATGTGTTTTCACATTTTGCTATGTCACCACCACACAATTCAATGTATTTTATAGGGATTTTGTACAATAGACTTACAAAAAGTTGTGCATATTGATAAAAAGTGTCAAAATCCTTTCAGTATAAATCTGTAAAGTATGTCATGTAGGCATGTGATAAGAGCTCAGATTTATTTCATACCAATTTTCATCCGATTTTAATCAATTTTTTTCTGTCACTGCCTTTTTTTAAAACAAAACAAAGAAATTAGAAATGGCTACATATGTTCAAATCACCATTCTGGGAGTTATCCTGAATTCAAAGTCAGGCTGTGAAACAAGCTGGGAGCTGGGTGGGCCGACATCACTCTGAACTAGGGGAGCCACGAGAATGGGGGAGGGGGAATTTAAATCTTCATAAACCAAAAAATTTATTGATTGATGAAATTGATCTATTGCCCATAAATAAAACCCAGAGTTGTGGAGAAATTTAGGAAAGGGCTTTGTTATATGTTGTCTGTGGATGTGAAAAAACTTGCTCTAATTGCATTGATATGTGGTTTTATAAAGTATTCAGTGGGGGGGGGGGGTGCAGAATACAAATGTGCGCCAAACGTTTCAGATTTTATTTGTCAAATATGTCCATGGTCATGCATCGGATGACCATGGACATTTACAAACCAATTACAAACCATAAATCACAGAGAAATAAAATGTTTTTTTGTTGTTGTTTTTTAAGTCGAGTCACTTAATACTGCTGCAAAAGTATTTAAAAATACATTGCAGACCAAAAAATGCTGCCCTTGGTTGCTTGTGAATAGGAAAACAGTCAGTGGTTAGGAATTTCTGAGCTGTGGCTTGGATATAGATGGTTGGCTCTGTCTTTGGCATGTCCACACTAATGAATGGGTTAGGAATAGGCCTGCATGTCTTTTATCAGGGGAGATAATTCAGCACTCCACTCTTGTTTCCACTCACAAAGGCCACTCTGTGCAGCTCTGCAGTTTTCATGCTTAATCAAGCCGAGGGAAACGCACAAACAAAGCATGTAATAGCATCTATAAACTTGTCAGCGGAACAATAGCAGTATGTAAATCAGTATGTCTGTTCAGGATAATTTGCACCCCTCACCCTGCATGTTATTATCCACTTTGACCAGGCAGATCTCCTGAACTTGCTGGCACTGGGCTTGTTTGGTTAACATCTCCATGTTGCTGGAACTCCCAAGAGCCTTGTCCCTTTTCACCTACATTGTGTTTTTTTTTTAACTAGAAGTGTCTTGGCTAAGTCAGCTCTCTTTGTTTTCGTTGCCCCCCTCTTATCTGTTCCTGTTTTGGCTCTCCTCTGGCTCCTCTTGACACAGCCCTGATGTGCTTTGGGAACGCAGCTCCCACTGGAATTCCCCCACCTCCCACTCATTCCTAATTTCACTCTCTCCAGCTGACCCCTCCAGTCCCATTGCCCCCCTCACCTCCCTTTGTTCTCAACGACAGCGAGGTCCACTTCTGGAGCCGCTCCGGGAGCATTTCTCCACGAGACGCTTTGAGCTGTCTCTGGGTAAAACTTGTGCAGGAAAAGGAAAACGCGAGGAGAGACGGAGCGGTCCAGAGAGGTGGAGAGAGAGAGAGTGCGTGGGCGGTCAGTGGGACATTTTGGCTGAAAATAGAACCCTTGTCATTTTCTCCTTTTGCTGCTTTCTTTGTTGGCAGGCTCTCACAGCTGCAGCTATCCAAGTAGCAATGGAGATGGAAGAAAACTGTCTGTGTGTGTGTGAAGAGTTGCATGCCTCTCATAATCTGCATAATTTTGTCCTGAATGATTTTCTGTCAGCTCTCCTCAGTAGGTTGAAGCTGTTCATCACAAATCATGCAGGTCATAGTTTCCTGTTCAGTAATTATCCAACAGTAGAGTGCCTAACATTTACCCTCTTGTGTATAAACATTGCAACCTAATGTGTGCGTTCTGATTTACTATCCTCTTAGAAAACAGGCTTGTTAGAAGCCGTTGTTAAGAAGCTTACAGTAGTCGCCCCTGGATTTGCGCTGAACATATGTTTTTTTTTTTTCTTTTACCATCAGGCTTGAATGCCTCACTTCCTTTCTCTAAACCTGTTCAGCCGTCATTGTTGCACACAATTCGTAATGTGACCACACTTTAAAGGAGTGAGGAAAAACAAGTTAAACTACATTTCAGACACACCCACACCCTCATTTAGGCTCATGCCAGACAAGACGCGCCATTTTTCCCCCCGTCTCTCCATCTGCCAGCTCTTCTGTCTGTGCTGGAATTAAAAGGGAACTGCTCCGAGCCGTCACTTTGCCCTGCCGGATGAGGCCGAGACTTAGATGCAGCCCCTCCCTCGCCGACATGCAGGTTGGAGATCCATTTAGCGGATATTCCCCTAAGCTCCACAACAGGTGTAAGTGGCAATGAATGTCTTCGTTGGGATAGTTTGACGCTTCCAGGGGCAAGTGGGCTTCATTTTTGGTGTAAACTGACCCCTTCAGGGCTTAGTGGTGTCTGGGCTGGCGCTCTAAAAAAAAAAAACTCCCAAAAAAAAAAAAAAAAAAAAGAAAATCAGTTTTGCTTTGTGTATTCAGTAGCACTTGATCAGCAACTATTGCAATCCTCCATATAACAGGGTGAATAATTTACATCCTCCTGCCTTTGGGGGCTTTAGAGGATATTTACTTCAAGTAAATAACTCTCTGTTGTGACCTTTTTATCTATCTGATAATCCTAAAGGATGTAACAGCTTAAACAGGCTTCCACAGACTTGTGGACATGTGCTAACAAAAGTTTGTGCTAACAACATCAAGGATGTCTGGTGTAACAAGCGTCAACGCTCTCACGCTGGTCAAATGTCGCAGCAATAAATAGAAAAATCTCTCATTCAAATGTTTTGAAGTGGCTCCGATAGAAGGAAACTCTCACCCATTTTCTGATTGAGTCGGCTAATAAATCTTTGACTAATAGGACATAATATGTTTAGAGCATTTAACCGTCTTCTTTAGATGGTCACGACATTATTAGGCAAGGAAAAATGACGCAGTGAAAACAACATGACACCTGGAATGTAATGGTAAAAAATATGGCATTCCTAACAGCCCTTTGTGAGAACAACCGTTAGAACGACGACAAAATGATTTGTTAGGCAGCTGTGCTGGTTATTAACGCCAGAGCAGTTCTGTGTTGTTTGATGAATAATGAAAACCTGATTTGATCTGGTTCACAGAGTTCCTCTGCGGTATTTAAAAGTCAGAAGAAGTAAATCTTCTTCTGATGTTTTCTAAATCTGAAAAAGTTAGGAAGAAAAGAAATGGTGTGACAAAACTTTCACATTTTATTCCATGTCTCACTCCATTAATCATATGAAAAGACAAATGAAATCTCAAACAAGCAATGACATGCATGCAAGCTGAATCACTAAACTGCTGTTATTTGAACAATCGTCTGACTGTAGGTGTCAAACATTGGACATTAAACTTGGTGACATTTGAAATATGGCATGTTGATCTTAACCAGATGTAGAAACTTGATGGTTGCTAAAGTGGGAAAAGTGTTACCCGTAATTTAAGTGAGAATCTGAAAACAATTAAAGCATTTATGGAACCAAAACACCAAACAACAAAAGCAGAACCAGTGAATTTCTAAAAGCTTAACCTTAAAAGTATGAGAAGATTGAAAAACTGCAAGAAAATGCTCAATTTCAAATAACTTTTTTTTTTTTTTAAATTCCATTTGTTTTTTCCCCCATTATGCATTATTACAGCCTGTATGGTCTGTAATTTTGGGGTTTTATGTGTCTGGTTTTCTGAATTATAGTAACATTTTTGGGCCACTGTTGTCAGTAAGTGTCGAGTTTAAAAACACAGCAGGCAGTTTGAGGAGCGCACAGAAATATAAAGGCAGTAAAGCAGTCTTCAAGTGTGGAAGGAGTCAAATTCTTGAATGTTTCAGTCGTGAGCGAGCTGCACAGATGGCTCCTGCTGTCTGCGCATAATAACCTCAGTATATTACCCTCACAGTGAGTCGTGTCATTTGCGACTCGCTTTGAATTTCAAAGCCTTTATTGTGATTAAAAGGCTTCTACTTTTTTAAAAACCTGGTTGCTTGTTTGGTATTTTTATCTGATCACTGAGAGTTGTTGAGCTTTAGAAATTGAGAGGAAGGAAACGCAACAATGGTGCTGTGTGTTTATTTGAGTTACTCTTCAGTTTGTTTGACAGATGTGTAAACACTCAGGCTGTCGAAAATTGTGTTTTAGTTTCTGTCATGTCTTTCTGTGCATGAAGGGGGAAAAACAGAGACATAATGGCTGATAAATTATGGTTTACCACATGGGCAGCAGATATTAGCTTCATGAAATAAGATTTAAACTCTGTTTGCCTAGACGCCTTAAATGTTGAACCAGAACACTTTCTGTTTTAGAGGCAGCAGGTTATAGCTCACAAGCTTTGCATGCTCATTTGTTTATGTCCACTGCTGCTACCAATCGCTTGAATCTTGAGTTTTTCAGCAAAACATTCTTGCTTTAAATTGAGAAACAGCTGTGCACACACCTCTTTATGAAGTAAGTGATGAGGACTAATTTTAACCACATGCGTGCTTTGATTAAAAGTCTGTGCCTTGTTAAAATCTAGATTTCACAGACACTGAAATCTACTTAGACTGTAATTTATGTAAAAATGATAGCTGCACTGTTTAGTCGTTGTGTGAAAAGCAGTTATTAAAATAAAAAGCTGTTCTCAAGTCATCCTGAAGTGACCCAGAGTCTTGGAGAGTTTATTTTTCCATTTCAATTGCTCATGTGACACAATGCTAAAAATGTCAACAAGGTACTAGCAAATAAAAAAATAGACTATATATGTGGTATAATCAGTATCTGAAGCAGAATAACTCAGATTGTTGAAAACGTCACGTTTATAGAGGAGGCAAAACCAGTGCACTGAAACCTGATTTAGTTATATTAAAATGTATCGATCATATTTGTAAATGCCTTAAGTGTTGGAAAAACCTGTTGCTAATCAAATATTAGATCATCTTAAATCTGTTCTTGCTGAATCCGATGCACTTTAGTCTCAGGCCTGACATCATAAGGTTCAATGTAAGGATGCACCGATGTGAAAATCTGGGCCAGTATCGATATCCAGTATGAATATTTAAGCTATAATCAATATTTACTGATCTTTTTCTGACCATTTCATGAAGAAAGAACCACATAATGCTGACACAAACAACAGTAAAATTGAAATAAAATCTGTTTTTAAAATCTGCACAATTGTAATTATCGGTACTGAAGTGTTAAAAATGGACTAACATCATCCGACGTCACTGTTGATGCCGATATATCATGTACATATCGGCATGATATATCGTGGATTCATGTTGGATCGTTAATTCAATGGATTCATGTTGGATCGTTATGTTATGTTCCTTGAATTATGAAAACATTGTCCATAGTTACCATGGCATTCGATAAATTACCTCACTTCAGTTTTCTGTAGTTTGTTGATTTAGTCAAATAGGAAGTTGTAAATCCAAACATGCTTTTCAACTGGTGTCCCACATGGTTGTGCATTTGGTTTAGTTAAATCTTATATTAATAATTCATCTTTTATTGCTGCTAAATATTTAACAACTGTTGATTGGACACTGAAGTGCTGCCGGTGTCTGTTGTTTCAGTTTGCCAGACCTTTGCTGTGCTCGAGGATGGAGTGTTGGCACACAGCCTGCAAGAGCAGGAGAGTAAGTTTAAAATAAATCATAGCTAAGCCTCACAATACCAAGTAACTGAGCTGCTTGATTGCACTGAACTATGATTCAGTAGTTGTGTACTGTTACTTAACAGTCATAGTTTGCATTTACATATACATATATACATTTAAAGTCCAAATCAACGCAGATCCAATTTATATTGGTATACATTTTGTTCTCTTTGCCTTTAGTTGAGCAATACTACACCACCAATATCCAGAAGAACCAACTGGTGCAAAATGACATCCGGGTAGCCCGGAGGCTGCAGCATGAGGAGGAGCAGCAGCGGGCCCAGCAGAGCGCCCTCTTCAGACAGGTTTCCAGACAAATGTAAGTCACTCCAGCTTCTCTCTCAACTCGCTCTGATGCTGCAAAAAGAGATTGTGGGGAATTTCCCACATGCAGTGTGTTTGCTCTGAGATCAGATTATTTGTTTTAGTAAATCATGAGCATAAAAAGCCATTTCCTTTCCTTTCGCACAGGGAAGAGCAGGACTTTGAATATGCCCGGGTGATTCAAGAAGAGCTCCAGCGACGCGCTGAGGAGGCACACAGGAGGGAGCAGGACGATGAGGTATAAATTTTATACTTTAAAAAAAAACATTTTAAAGTAACAATATTCCTTTATATGTTAGGAAAACTTCCATAATATGCAAATTGCAGATGTTTTAGTGTTGTTTGTTCCTGTTTTTAATATGGCAATAAAAATTTAATTTCCCAAAAGTCAGGAATGCACATAGAGTACCAGGAAGACACAACAATCAAATCCTGATTCCTTACCAACCTTAATAACACCATGAATAGCTTGCACAGCTTATTTCTGAGATGTTCTTTGTCTTTTCTTTATAAAAACAGACAATATATCAGAGCGTCAGTCTTCACATATGGTGTGAACACAACATGGTGGTACTAATAGGATTCAGGTTCAGTCTCAGGTGAAGGATGCTGGCTTTTTTTGTTTACATGTAAACAACACTTGTGAGGTAGAATAATACATAATCGGCTTTGCACAGCTGCTGGTTACATTGAAATGACTTAGCCGTTCGCTCTGGAACATTTTATTGAACTGGATTGTTTTTAAGTTTAGTAGTAAGAAAAACTCGAATCTTTCTGTGTCCAGGCGACCACACAAGCAAGCTTATTCTTTAAATGTTGCCATTAATCCCCAAGAACATCAACTTTGGAGCAATATAAGGACTTTGAGTCATAACTTTAGTTTACGAGGCAAAGGGTGTAGTAACCAGCTGGCAGCCTACCTTTGGAACAGTAAGGGGCTAACAAACAAATTGTGACGAGGTGCCAATTATGTTAGCGATATATTAAACCTCTGCCACGTTGTACTGAACCAACACTGGAAAAAAAGCTTGATAAAGTCAATCTACATTATAAAGACAAACTTTTGATTATTACTGCACAATAAGCACTTATGTAAAAATGCCAAGACTTTCTCATGTTACTGCTGGTCATTTACTCCTAAAAGGTACAATTCCTTGTTTGTGGGGCCAAACAAGTATTTGGAAGAACCAAAAACAAGAAAGTTGCAAATTTTAACTTTAACTGTAGCTCCTTTTTGAGCTGCAGTTTTTAGAGCACAGCGGATTGAAAGAAGAAAATGATACAGACAGCGGTGATTGAGTGGTCTATTTATTAAAATTAGAAAAAAACAAAAGCTAATGCTAATTAATCATAACTTAGCCCTTTGAGTCTTAAGTTTCAAATGTACGTCTGGTTATTTTAACTTTACACTGTTCTTTAAATGTCCTGTGAGTAAATATATTTTCCAGTTTATCCATAACAACTAGAACTTTCAATATCTAGCAGTAATTTTGCACTAGAAACTGGTAAGTGTTTTTGCAGTGCATTGGAGGGAAATTATCTGGATTTTCTTATATATTTTCTAATCTTGACAGCGTTTTATCTAACTAACTAGTGACCTGAGGTTATTCTTAATGCTTGTTGTTTTTGCAACTGAACAGTTTGTTTTATTGCTTTAAAAAAAAGGAAAAGCTGCTATAAGGAACAGAATGTTGTCTGGACATGATGGTGGGGCCAGATGGCAAGCATCAATCATTTCTCGCTTGTTTTCATCTTCCCCCTGATGGCCAATCCTAAAACTTCACCCTGGGTTATGCTAGATCATTAGAAACAAACAGCTACGCTGCACACGGCAAAGAAAAAAAACAGGGCTCTGCAGTAAAACTCCCTATCTGGTCCAGCACTCTGTGCCTCAAGGCCACTCCACCATAATATTTTTCTTTACGCGGCAGTTTCCTTTTTCTAGATGAGCCTGTGTATAAAAGCCCATTCTTGAAAGACAGGGAGTGCCATTCATCTTTGCTGAAAGGGTCGGGTTAAAATTCATGTTTATACTCTTAGTTGAATGTTGAAAGAGACAAAGCTGCTTTAATAAAACTGACTCAGTTTCCTGAGGAAAGAGTGACAGCGATTGGGTCATAGTTTGGGTTTTTTGAGCGCTGTGGCGCTCTTGTATAGTTGAATCTTTTGCAATAGTGATGATTTGGGGGGGAAATGTGGAAGCCTGACACCATCCCATCTGTGAGGTGCTGTGGTGGCAGCATCATGTGATTGCTGTGTTTTGCTGGCACACTTCACCAAATAAAAAATATGATTACATATAAATATTGGAAAAACATCTGAGAAGAATACAGGCAAAAATGAGTCTCCCAAATGAGCAGTAACCCCAATCGTCCAGGAAAATGAGTTACAAAGTGGAAACAAAGTCACTGTTTTTCATGGAAAGCCTTTATTTCAGGCCTATGGAAATCTTTTAGGCGGAGCTGAAAAGGTGTGTGTGTGTGTGCGTGTGTGCGTGTGTGTGTGCGTGTGTGTGTGTGTGTGTGTGTGTGTGTGTGTGTGAGCAACACACTGCGTGAGAAGCTTGTGGAAAGATACCCAAAACACTTTACAAAAGCAGTTCTACCAAATACAAAGGACATTTATGTAAACTTGTGAATAGCATTTAGCATATAGAAATCATTTTGGTAATCATACCTGACCTGAAATTGACCAAATGTTAAGAAGAAACAAAGCTGTTTGTTTTTTTTAAAGCAACATATTCTAATTTATAGAGAAACAGCTTGCAGTATTTGAAGTTTTTTTCACGTTTTCTTTACCTCTTGCGTATGCATCGATGTAAATGTTTATTTTGAAATCAAACAAACCATCAGCCCTTGTGCTGAGGTCTGTTAATACCTTATTTAATAACTGGCCAATCCAAAGTGGTTGATAAACATTTGCCTCCCATTAGGTTGTCTTTAATTAAGAAACAGAAGGCGTTGGGGTGTGCAGTTTTAAATGCCAGATCCCTGTGGCTCTAAATACCTAACCTGTCATGGCAAGCTGCTAATTATGTGCTGATGTTGGCAAAGTGGCCCCTGCTGCAGACAAAAAGGAGCTGTGCTTGCTGTTTGTTTTGATTTATATTGCAAAAGATGCCTGTAGAGAGAGATTTCATGAAATACACAAGGAGAATTTGCTGATCTTTGGAGAACGTAATTAGTTGCTTTTCTTAGAAAGCAGCACCCAGGTGTGACACGACCTCCACCTCAGAGAGGACAAGACCAAGTGGGGGTTTTTTAACCCCTGGTCACAAAATATCACTTCGAGTATAAGTGTCCCGCTGACCTGTACCAGTCAGGAATGAAAGATTAGCTCCTCCTGGATGTAGTCTGTATGGTTAGATTTGTTTTTTGTCACTTTTAGCCTGATACAGTTTCCCAGGAATAAATAAATTAAGAAGTAAAATATTAAATTGCTTCTTCTTTGTTTTAAGTAAAATTATAATCCAAAACAAAGATATAAAAAGGATGCTTTTTTTAATATTTTGTTCTTCTGTAATAAAGTTACTGTCTGTCTTGTTTCAGTCTGTGCAACACTGCCACCTGCTGGCTTAAAGTAGCAGTGCATCAAGAATCAAAGTTGCTTTGAATTATGTTTCTTGTCACAAGTTTTAGTAGAAATGATAGTCTGTAGCAATCCCAACAGACTGTGTTACATGTCAGCTGTTTTATATCTGCATTTCTTTTTATTGGTGTTCATGTCAGACCTGGCTGCTGCTTGTTTAAAACAACTAGAGGAAAAGAGGTTTGCTGATTAATTCAGATGGAAAACACCCACAGATGAGAGATGATTCATAGCACTTCATAAAAACAGTAAGATTTTAGTATTTAGTTTGAGGACTAATACAGGTAGAACAGTGGGCTGAGAAGATCCTCATTGTTGCTGTCTTCACTTTGCATCGTTTTATGTGTCTCTGCTGACATTTGTATTTTTCAGATAATTCTGTTCCTGCCTCTCATGTGTCTGAGAACCTTTTCAGTGCCTGATAGATGGTATTGAGAAACTATTTTAAAATGTAATCCAATGCAAGATGTCGATTATTATTCACTACTGAAAATTTTACTCCAAATTAAGCGTGAACATACAGTTGCAACCAGATACTTGCAAAAATTTGTATGAAAAAAAATGTGCAGCCTTTTTATTTGTCACTGTCTGGCATTAAATTAGATTAACTATTTTTTTCTGCTAAATGCCTTAATAACAATGTAGCCAAACTCTTAACTTCTCTGTCTGGAGGTGGTGGTTTAATACTTCTACATAATGTTTTTACCTTATTATTTCATCTAATCTGTTTAGAGACCCACTTCCTCCTGCTTCAAAACTCCCCCACACCACAAAGCTTGAAGCTTATTCCCTTTTCCTCTGAATTTAACAGTGGTCTTTATTGCCTGGTACTTCCGTTTTAGTTTCACCAGACCACATGGTGTATCAAAAAAGTTATTTGATTTTCAAACTGTTACCTGACTCTTTTTGTTGTTGTCTTCTTCCTCCCTGTGTGGCTTTTCGGCCCATGTTGGTACTAACCTTGTTCGATGGGGGGGTAATGAATTTCTCCCTTGATCTTCCAAAGGATGATGGTACAAAGTCATCAGGAGGAAACTCTCTCCTTGATTAGTTATTCTGCCATTTAACAAATGGAAATATTGTGGTAATCCTAACTGATTAAAATGCGTTCAGCCTGATGTAATACTGTTCTACGTGTGAACGTGTTTTCACAGGAAATAGCTAAACAGCTGCAGGAAGAGGAGGAGCAGCAGGTCAGGAGGACGAGTCAAGACCAGGAGGATTTTCATGAAGGTACATTTTTTCATTTTGACAAATTGACGGCCATTTTGATTGACTGATTGGTTGTTTTTTGTATAGCCAGGTTTTGTTTTTGTTGCCTCCTTAGACGTTTTTCTGGACGTAGCCCCAGTGACATGGAGTCTGATTTCTGAGTTAGAGATGATAGACGGTCCAGTTAGGCATATATTGGATCGGCTCTGGTGTATTGCCTTAATTACAAATGAAATACAATCTTTTGTGTTTGTTTGTATATGGAAAATGTGAATCAAGGTGTAACATCACTTTGGTATTTTCCAAAGCATGTCCTTTGCCTCAGAACAGATTTGAAGCCATATATTTTGCTCTAAATCTGTTATTTGCGTCGCATGTTGTGTTTTTAAGCATGCTTCACATTGCTGTCTGTAAAAAGAAAACATTTCTGTTAAATGTGTAAAGCTACTTGTATAACTCTTGCACTAGCAGCTTTTTTAATGCTGCTTAGGGTAATTAACTGCACTTGTCTTTCACCATCCACTAACAGACTCTCCCATCCTTATTGCTTTTGTTTGCATGTTTATCAATGCTAAAGGCAGCACCAGTGGTCCTGCACTGCCGTCCTCTCACCATCACACACTCAGCAGCCCTCACCCAGGACAGCAGCAGTACTCGCCTGTCACCAGCAGGTGGCAGCATTCTACCGCTCATCGTGGTTCAGTGCTAACTGGGCCTCAGAGTGGTTCTCCCAGGAGAGCAGCATCTCAGAGCAGCACAACTTCATGGTCAAATCAAGGGCATGCAGAGACCAGCAGGCAAAGAAGGCCTGAGCTCAGAGAGCCTGTAGATGAGGATTCAGAAGACTCGGATACTGTTTTTACTGAACAGCTCTCTGTTTGGGCCCGGCGTCTGTATGACGGGGCAAATACGGCGCCTCGTCAACGACAGGCTTCTTTAAGATCCCCACAAGAGAGGAATTACAGAAGTCTGTGCACTCGCAGCAGCTTCACAAAGGACTTAGCAGGCAGGGAGGAGGAGAGCGAAAACTGTGAGGAAGACTATTACGAAAACGATAATGTGCAATGGAGAATATCTAGGAATGTGGATTATGAAAGCGATGAACATGAAGGCAGGCCTCAGGAAGCGGACAGCAGGCCAGCCGAGGCCTGCGAAAGGCGATGTCACCGCAGCGAATCGGTGAGCGTACACAACCGAAGTAGACACAGAAACGGAGACCTGGCAAGAACCTGGAGCTGCAAGGAGAACCCTGATAAACACGTCCGCTTCCAGGACGATCAGAGAGGTCCTGTCAGGAAGCAGGACGACAGCCTGAAGGTGTGGGAGATGCTCGGCCACCTCCTGCAGGAGAGGGGCGTCCCTGTGAAGGTTGGTGGCAGCGGGGCGCCGCTGCAGATAAGGGCTCAAAGCAGAGACAGCCAGGCGCTTTATGGGAGCGAGGTCTCCTATGGTGACTCCCAGCCACATCAGAGAGCCTTCCAACGAGCCGCCGCCACCAGGCACAGTTTCCATGGAGATATCAGGCAGAGGAGGAGATCGTCACACGGAGAAAGCTTTGGGAGAGATCACAGAGCAGACCAAGACAGGCGTAATTATAACAGAGAGGTTTGTGACTGCAATAGTGGAGAGCCTCATGTCTTTGACAGAGGCACAAGATGGAGCGAACACAAATATGTAAACATTGACAATAACAGAGAGAGAAAAGCGAATCAGACCAGAGTAAAGAGGGTGACAAGCGAACGCAGGCACTGGCACAAGATCACAGAAGAAACGTTGAGCTCAGACGAGGAGCAGGAGGCGGAGAGAAGAGCGGAGCGTCCAAGGCGAAGAGCGCTACATCGTAGCCAAAGCTTCAGCAGCAGCAGGGGTTCGAGCAGACACAGGTCGAGGCACGTAGCAGCAGGTAACACCCCGACCTGCAGCCAGCTCTGAGTCTGCACAGGGGAACACTTCCAATGTGTTCTTCCCATCTGATCTCTTAATCTCTACTCAATCGTTGCTGTGGGAGTGGGCTTCACCTGTGGCTCTGGTGTCTGACGTGGGAATTAATTTTTCTGTTTTCAGTCTAGAAACTTTACATCTCTTCAGTCTCTGCATTTTTACCAATCAAGTCTTGATCTGCATAGTGATCTCTCATTTCTTGGTGTGATTCCAAATAACCTTCGGCTTTGAGTCATTTATTTATTTGAGCAATCTGGCAATATGTTTTATTGTAATCACAGTGAATTGTCCCCCTTAGGAGCTTCTCTGCAACCAGAGCCAAGCGAGGCAGGCCTGGATCTGGGAGCCTTGCATCAGGTCCTACAAGATGAAGAAATGGCCCGCAAGCTTCAGGAGGAGGAAGACAAGCAGCTGAGGAGGGTAAGGGATCGAAGACGTTTTACAGATTATGAAAATGCCTTCAGAAAACCACAAACTCTTCTGTTGGGAAGCTCTGCCGCCCATTTTTGCAACCGGGATGATGGAAAATTTATTTTCCGGTTTGTCCTTAAAGCTACACTTACATTAAGCATCAACTACAGCACAACACAGCCACCCACTGTGCTGAGTCTATCCGCTCACCGCCGTTCGCTCTTCATCACCACCAGGCAGCAGCTTCGGGAGGAGAAAGGCTGCTGTACTCCAGGCATCGCGCCAGTCAATTTAAGGATGCTTATTGATCCCCCCAAAAAAAGATAAAAACCCAGACATTATCATAACTCAATGAAATACCCCGGAACTTTATACTACTAGCACTTAGCTTTCGTCAACAGCTAATTTGCGAAAGTGAGAGTGTTGCGCAACAGAAATAATCACCCGGCCGGAACACTAAATAATAATGCGCTAAGTAATAAAACCTTGTTTAACGAAGCTTCGGGGCAGGTAATTTTCCTCGAGGAATTTTAATAATCGAGGAACTCGAATCATTCGAGGAATCGTTGCAGCCGTACCCGTTATAAATCCAGCAGTTATGTGAAGCTCAAACATTTTCTACAGAACATTAGTGAACAATTAATGAAGACCAAAGAACAAAGCAGATATGACGGGAAGAAAGTTGTGGAGAAGTTTGGTAATGAAAAATTTTTCAATCTAAAAATGGAAAGAATGCGACACGTGCAAATCTAAGGAGGCCTTATTGTCCACACAAATTAACAGGCAGGATAAAGACGGGTAGCCATCATAACTCTGGACCGTTACTGGAGACGGTCGTAAAAAACAGCTCTTTTTTTTTTTTAGTCATAAAAAAAAAGTTTTTACGATTGTTTCCAGTTGTCAAAAAAACAATCAATTCCAATACACTTGTAGGTGAAAATCTGTAGTAGAAAATTATTATAAGGTAATATCTGCTAGTTAAATTGCTCTGGGTTTATTCTAACTTCTTGTACGTTTCCACCGGATAAAGCTATTTGGGCTGCATGCACAAGGTTGGGAGTTGTTTTCTACAGCTGCATCAGAACCAGTCTGTCTCGCCCCTTGTTTTGGATCCCTTATCCTTGTTGTAAAACTAATGTGTTGTCTCTGCCTGGAGAGCTTTTCACCCAGAACTGCTTCATTATTAATTTTCCTACAAGCTCTCTGTATTGTGCACAATAAACCTGATTGAGTGATCTCACCTGACAGTGCTTGATAATAGTTGTCTTTTTTCCGCAACAAAATCACTGCCAGATTTTTTTTGCACCATGCGGATGATGAGAGTCACGAGATCAGACAGTCATGAACAAGTCGGAGCAAGTCCTGGGTAGGACAGAGTTCACAATAACATCTGATCCTGCATGTGGAGCCCAGACAAGTTCGCTAGATGAGAGTTAAGAGTCTAGATATCACCTTACAATAAAATGTTGTGGCACACACTTCATAAATCTGATCGTTAAAGAAGAGTGCGCTGAAACAAAGCCATACAAAATGATGTTTAAAGTTCACCACAAGCCTTCTGGAAGGCTCAGAAACATGCAGATGGATGTTTATGTTTGGATGATTTTAAAATGAAACATTTTGACCTACAAACAGTAGCAATGGCAGATTAACAGTGAACACATAATCACCGCTGAGAAAAATGTTGCTGACGGCGTTTAACGATGGTCGGAGTTTAACGATGAATGGACTAAAAACAAGTCGAGATTCGGCCTCTAGCAGGATGACGATCTGAAACGTACAGCCAGAACTACAACCTACAGATCAAAGCATATTTGAGTGTTTGAGTGGCCTAATTAAAGTCCAGACCTAAATCTAATTGAGCATTGATGCTTTGTTTTCAGACAAATCCCATCAATTCTGACTAAGCCTAACTTATTTCGCGAGGGAAACACAGCAAACATTTGTCTCAAGATGTGCAAAGCTGTTACTTTCCTCAAAGGACTACCAGCTGTAACTGCATTGAATCAGGATGGGGAAAATACCATTGCAGGCCACACTTTTCAGATTATTTGAGAGGAAAAACAAGCATCAGAATCCTTCCACTAGAATCCTGCACTTACTTTGCGCTGGTCTACTACTTAAAACCCCAATAAGACAGTGACGTTTGTGGATCTAACATGAGAAATGTGGACAAATTTTAATACTTTTACAAGGTGCTGAAAGTGAAGATTTTGTTACAGGAGGAAAATGAAAAGAAATAATCTTCTTTACTTTCTTTACAGACGTCTTTACGCAGTTCCTATCCAGAGGGGGACTTCAGGGTAGCTCAGGTTGCACAAGATGAGGTACAGTGGTGAATTCCTGTGTTTTGTTCATTCTTGTAAATATCCCACCTTGATTTTTTTTTTTGTTTTTGTTTTTGTTGCAGGAAATTGCACGTTTTATGCAGAAGCAGGAAATCAAGGCCAAGCGAAGATCTCGTGAACTGGAAGGGCCAGGATCCTGGCACGAACACAGAGCGATGATGAATCACTACGACAGGCGAGCTGCCAGAGAAAGACAGGTACCAGGAAATAAAAGTTTAATTACTTTTATAAATAAAAGGACCGATAGAGACTTCGTCTTGTTCTTTAGGTGTATCGAGAAAGACTCGACTCGGAGGGTCTCCCCTCTCCGACTGAAGACTGCTCGCCGGAGAACCAGCCACCCAGCCCCGTTCACGCCCTACCGTAAGGAAATAAAGCATCTGTACTATTACTGCATCGATTCTGTGTTATGCATCTAATAATGCTGCCGTTGCAGAAAAGCCCAGCAGATGAGAAACATAGCAGAGGAGCTGGACCCGACCTTCCAGGGCCGAGTGCACGTCCCAGAGAGCTTCCAAGCAGGACAAACTGGTACCCAACAGGATGAATGAGTCTGGTTGTTGAAACAATAGCTTTGCATTCACTTTGTTTGTTTCAATTACAGGTCAGACCAGTGAGGCGCTTCCCACCGCCCAATCCGGCTCCCAGGACCTAACCCTTGAGGAACCGACGTTCATACCACCGACAAAACGACAGGCGGATAAATCTGGACGGAGTAAACCCAAAGAGAAGAGGGAAGGATGCAAGCAGCAATAAACAGATTGCGCTGACGGGAAATGGTTGTTTTTATAAGATAATTTTAATCTAACAAAGGGTTCTCATTGTTTATTGCTTTATCATCAAAAACTGAAAGAAAAACCAAGACAAGCACTTTAGGTTAGTAAAGCAAGGACGCATTATTATCGCATTTTGGACACTAGAACCAAAAGGGAATTGCTTAATTTGTTGAAGTACTTTTTAAAATGTGTATATTTAGTGTTTAATTTAACAATAATAGCATTAATGTTTGCTTTTTCATATCAGCAGCCAAATGTTTTTTTTACCGCAAACGGAGCGCCTGACTTCAGCTCAGATACGATTCGTTGTACGTTTCCTGCCTGGGATTTGGATAAAAGCTCCAAACACTCTTCAGTTTGGTTCAACCACAAACTGTTTTCTCCGAAGGCTGAAGAAGAAGTGAGATTGATGACACGTGAACTTGGTTTTAATCACCTGCGCTTGCATGTGTGTGCTACCTTTGTGTGTGTTTTCAGGTGTTATTGTTTACAGCTGTTCAGTGACAATCACATGAACTAACCTGAGAATGAAAACTGATCAACATTGGAAGGTTTTTTTTTAAAAATTCAATGCTGAATTATATTCATACCACCTAAAGTTTTTTCTTTTTGTTTAAACCAGAGCAGAGAATTTTATTGGCATTTCATGACAGTTTTAAAAAGTCTTTGAGGGTAAATATCTACATTGTGTAATTGTCGATGTTTACAAATGAACAACCGCTTGTCGCAGTTGCACAAATGCCACACTTTTCAGATTTCTACACTAAGTTAACCCTTTATTTGCCAGGTGCAAAGGTGGTCAGAGTCGCTACTTTTTGTGCTGGGTTTTCACGACTTCTCATGTTTGTGGTTGTAACATGAGGAATGTGGAGAATTTGAGTATGGATGCTTTTACAAAACAAAACAGTCTTTAACAGGATGAGCTACACTCCCAGGTCCAACTCTAAAACCTCCTGTTGACCTGCGTTTCTATATTCAGTGAAATGTGACGCCAAAGAGTCTGTCAGAACTCGCTCTGTGGGAAATTACCTCATGCCAAGCACTAATATTCATTCTGATGATTAAAAACTTTGGGATTTTTTTTTTTTTTGTTTCTGTTTGATCTGAATTGAATTCTTTATGTNAATCAAGTCTTGATCTGCATAGTGATCTCTCATTTCTTGGTGTGATTCCAAATAACCTTCGGCTTTGAGTCATTTATTTATTTGAGCAATCTGGCAATATGTTTTATTGTAATCACAGTGAATTGTCCCCCTTAGGAGCTTCTCTGCAACCAGAGCCAAGCGAGGCAGGCCTGGATCTGGGAGCCTTGCATCAGGTCCTACAAGATGAAGAAATGGCCCGCAAGCTTCAGGAGGAGGAAGACAAGCAGCTGAGGAGGGTAAGGGATCGAAGACGTTTTACAGATTATGAAAATGCCTTCAGAAAACCACAAACTCTTCTGTTGGGAAGCTCTGCCGCCCATTTTTGCAACCGGGATGATGGAAAATTTATTTTCCGGTTTGTCCTTAAAGCTACACTTACATTAAGCATCAACTACAGCACAACACAGCCACCCACTGTGCTGAGTCTATCCGCTCACCGCCGTTCGCTCTTCATCACCACCAGGCAGCAGCTTCGGGAGGAGAAAGGCTGCTGTACTCCAGGCATCGCGCCAGTCAATTTAAGGATGCTTATTGATCCCCCCAAAAAAAGATAAAAACCCAGACATTATCATAACTCAATGAAATACCCCGGAACTTTATACTACTAGCACTTAGCTTTCGTCAACAGCTAATTTGCGAAAGTGAGAGTGTTGCGCAACAGAAATAATCACCCGGCCGGAACACTAAATAATAATGCGCTAAGTAATAAAACCTTGTTTAACGAAGCTTCGGGGCAGGTAATTTTCCTCGAGGAATTTTAATAATCGAGGAACTCGAATCATTCGAGGAATCGTTGCAGCCGTACCCGTTATAAATCCAGCAGTTATGTGAAGCTCAAACATTTTCTACAGAACATTAGTGAACAATTAATGAAGACCAAAGAACAAAGCAGATATGACGGGAAGAAAGTTGTGGAGAAGTTTGGTAATGAAAAATTTTTCAATCTAAAAATGGAAAGAATGCGACACGTGCAAATCTAAGGAGGCCTTATTGTCCACACAAATTAACAGGCAGGATAAAGACGGGTAGCCATCATAACTCTGGACCGTTACTGGAGACGGTCGTAAAAAACAGCTCTTTTTTTTTTTTAGTCATAAAAAAAAAGTTTTTACGATTGTTTCCAGTTGTCAAAAAAACAATCAATTCCAATACACTTGTAGGTGAAAATCTGTAGTAGAAAATTATTATAAGGTAATATCTGCTAGTTAAATTGCTCTGGGTTTATTCTAACTTCTTGTACGTTTCCACCGGATAAAGCTATTTGGGCTGCATGCACAAGGTTGGGAGTTGTTTTCTACAGCTGCATCAGAACCAGTCTGTCTCGCCCCTTGTTTTGGATCCCTTATCCTTGTTGTAAAACTAATGTGTTGTCTCTGCCTGGAGAGCTTTTCACCCAGAACTGCTTCATTATTAATTTTCCTACAAGCTCTCTGTATTGTGCACAATAAACCTGATTGAGTGATCTCACCTGACAGTGCTTGATAATAGTTGTCTTTTTTCCGCAACAAAATCACTGCCAGATTTTTTTTGCACCATGCGGATGATGAGAGTCACGAGATCAGACAGTCATGAACAAGTCGGAGCAAGTCCTGGGTAGGACAGAGTTCACAATAACATCTGATCCTGCATGTGGAGCCCAGACAAGTTCGCTAGATGAGAGTTAAGAGTCTAGATATCACCTTACAATAAAATGTTGTGGCACACACTTCATAAATCTGATCGTTAAAGAAGAGTGCGCTGAAACAAAGCCATACAAAATGATGTTTAAAGTTCACCACAAGCCTTCTGGAAGGCTCAGAAACATGCAGATGGATGTTTATGTTTGGATGATTTTAAAATGAAACATTTTGACCTACAAACAGTAGCAATGGCAGATTAACAGTGAACACATAATCACCGCTGAGAAAAATGTTGCTGACGGCGTTTAACGATGGTCGGAGTTTAACGATGAATGGACTAAAAACAAGTCGAGATTCGGCCTCTAGCAGGATGACGATCTGAAACGTACAGCCAGAACTACAACCTACAGATCAAAGCATATTTGAGTGTTTGAGTGGCCTAATTAAAGTCCAGACCTAAATCTAATTGAGCATTGATGCTTTGTTTTCAGACAAATCCCATCAATTCTGACTAAGCCTAACTTATTTCGCGAGGGAAACACAGCAAACATTTGTCTCAAGATGTGCAAAGCTGTTACTTTCCTCAAAGGACTACCAGCTGTAACTGCATTGAATCAGGATGGGGAAAATACCATTGCAGGCCACACTTTTCAGATTATTTGAGAGGAAAAACAAGCATCAGAATCCTTCCACTAGAATCCTGCACTTACTTTGCGCTGGTCTACTACTTAAAACCCCAATAAGACAGTGACGTTTGTGGATCTAACATGAGAAATGTGGACAAATTTTAATACTTTTACAAGGTGCTGAAAGTGAAGATTTTGTTACAGGAGGAAAATGAAAAGAAATAATCTTCTTTACTTTCTTTACAGACGTCTTTACGCAGTTCCTATCCAGAGGGGGACTTCAGGGTAGCTCAGGTTGCACAAGATGAGGTACAGTGGTGAATTCCTGTGTTTTGTTCATTCTTGTAAATATCCCACCTTGATTTTTTTTTTTGTTTTTGTTTTTGTTGCAGGAAATTGCACGTTTTATGCAGAAGCAGGAAATCAAGGCCAAGCGAAGATCTCGTGAACTGGAAGGGCCAGGATCCTGGCACGAACACAGAGCGATGATGAATCACTACGACAGGCGAGCTGCCAGAGAAAGACAGGTACCAGGAAATAAAAGTTTAATTACTTTTATAAATAAAAGGACCGATAGAGACTTCGTCTTGTTCTTTAGGTGTATCGAGAAAGACTCGACTCGGAGGGTCTCCCCTCTCCGACTGAAGACTGCTCGCCGGAGAACCAGCCACCCAGCCCCGTTCACGCCCTACCGTAAGGAAATAAAGCATCTGTACTATTACTGCATCGATTCTGTGTTATGCATCTAATAATGCTGCCGTTGCAGAAAAGCCCAGCAGATGAGAAACATAGCAGAGGAGCTGGACCCGACCTTCCAGGGCCGAGTGCACGTCCCAGAGAGCTTCCAAGCAGGACAAACTGGTACCCAACAGGATGAATGAGTCTGGTTGTTGAAACAATAGCTTTGCATTCACTTTGTTTGTTTCAATTACAGGTCAGACCAGTGAGGCGCTTCCCACCGCCCAATCCGGCTCCCAGGACCTAACCCTTGAGGAACCGACGTTCATACCACCGACAAAACGACAGGCGGATAAATCTGGACGGAGTAAACCCAAAGAGAAGAGGGAAGGATGCAAGCAGCAATAAACAGATTGCGCTGACGGGAAATGGTTGTTTTTATAAGATAATTTTAATCTAACAAAGGGTTCTCATTGTTTATTGCTTTATCATCAAAAACTGAAAGAAAAACCAAGACAAGCACTTTAGGTTAGTAAAGCAAGGACGCATTATTATCGCATTTTGGACACTAGAACCAAAAGGGAATTGCTTAATTTGTTGAAGTACTTTTTAAAATGTGTATATTTAGTGTTTAATTTAACAATAATAGCATTAATGTTTGCTTTTTCATATCAGCAGCCAAATGTTTTTTTTACCGCAAACGGAGCGCCTGACTTCAGCTCAGATACGATTCGTTGTACGTTTCCTGCCTGGGATTTGGATAAAAGCTCCAAACACTCTTCAGTTTGGTTCAACCACAAACTGTTTTCTCCGAAGGCTGAAGAAGAAGTGAGATTGATGACACGTGAACTTGGTTTTAATCACCTGCGCTTGCATGTGTGTGCTACCTTTGTGTGTGTTTTCAGGTGTTATTGTTTACAGCTGTTCAGTGACAATCACATGAACTAACCTGAGAATGAAAACTGATCAACATTGGAAGGTTTTTTTTTAAAAATTCAATGCTGAATTATATTCATACCACCTAAAGTTTTTTCTTTTTGTTTAAACCAGAGCAGAGAATTTTATTGGCATTTCATGACAGTTTTAAAAAGTCTTTGAGGGTAAATATCTACATTGTGTAATTGTCGATGTTTACAAATGAACAACCGCTTGTCGCAGTTGCACAAATGCCACACTTTTCAGATTTCTACACTAAGTTAACCCTTTATTTGCCAGGTGCAAAGGTGGTCAGAGTCGCTACTTTTTGTGCTGGGTTTTCACGACTTCTCATGTTTGTGGTTGTAACATGAGGAATGTGGAGAATTTGAGTATGGATGCTTTTACAAAACAAAACAGTCTTTAACAGGATGAGCTACACTCCCAGGTCCAACTCTAAAACCTCCTGTTGACCTGCGTTTCTATATTCAGTGAAATGTGACGCCAAAGAGTCTGTCAGAACTCGCTCTGTGGGAAATTACCTCATGCCAAGCACTAATATTCATTCTGATGATTAAAAACTTTGGGATTTTTTTTTTTTTTTTTTTCTGTTTGATCTGAATTGAATTTTTTATGTTTTACTTCCTCCTGTTTTTTTCCTTATATATATTCTTTGCTGGAGAATGTTTTTTTTTTCAGCTGTTCTGTATAAAAGCACAACAAATAAAAAATATATATCATTTATTTGGTGTTCAAAAATGTGATAAAAGTACAATGTAAAACTTTAAAAACAAGACAGAATGAAACCATTTTCTGACAGTGGAAAGGATACTTTAGGAGAGCGTCATTCGCCTCAGGTAGCAGATGACAGACTAAATAAAGTGCTACAGTCAGCGTATGTGTTTGCCCTTTTTCAGGACGGCGCTTGTGGATTTTGAGGCTTGTTAGACCAACGCCGCCCGACTGAGAATAGTGACTCATAGTCTACACACCGTGTGATAAATTACAATAGATGTGGGCTTACTTTGTTTCCACCAGAAGCCCACACATGATATTTCTTTGTTCCATTTTGTTAAGAAATAACGCCTGCTACAGTTCAAGCCAGAAATACGGCTTTAAAAAAAAAAAAAAAAAACAACACTTCCTGTTGGTCTTATCTCCCCGGCCACATTCTTTGTTCAAGTAGAGGAGTTTCACAGAAAACAAAACGGCAGTGGGGGATTTCCACTTGACCCTGAAGCCTTGATTTGAAGTTAAAGCTGCCAAGTTTTTATCACCTCGATATGACACTGAAATGAATTTAAACTATGACTAATGAATGACCTTAAAGGTTACTTGTGATCCCCGTTGTGCAAGAGGCATGAGTCAGCTTGCTTGTGCTTATCCTGAGGTTGTCTTCTTGTTAAATCCCTCCAGTCTGAAGGCTCACTGCTGGCTGAAGCTTAAGGACAACATGGGGAAAACCCCTTTTGGACTTTTTCTGATTAGCAATTAAGTAACAGCTGGAAAACCCAGGAAGTTTTTGTTATCAAATTCTGCAGCTTTTACAACCAGCTGGCTGTGATTAAGCAAGTTAATCTTTCAGAGCTACGTGGAGGTGAAATATAGCTACATGTTTTACAGATCAAACCAGATATTAGCACACAATCCTTAACTCAAGACGCACAACATTTTTTTTTTTTTTTAACAATTAGTACATCTATGTACATTTACTCATATTTAGTAGAATTGCACTAAGATGCATCACTTCGGTCAAAAGATCTGCTTCCATAAGCTTCAGGTGTAACAGAGTCGGTCGAAACTAATTTAGAAGTTTTTGACCTCCTCAAAAATCCGTTTTTGCAAGTACAGTAGTCTGAGGTTTACACTCACAGGTATTCACATCTATTCAAGTGAAATATTCTGAGACAACCTATCAGAAGCTGACAACTTGGTTTGCCCAAGTTGTTTAAAAGCACTGAAGTTTTGGTGTATTCATTAACAATTTAGCAAATATAACTACTGAACTAAAGTAAGAAACGTTTGATTCATTGGCGGAAATGGTTTTGTCTTTTTATAGCGTGCATGTAAATCTGTGGTTTCAGCTGATCAAAAACAATGCCGTCGTCGCTTGGCCTCGTTTATGCACTCACACTATTAATAACCAGTCAATACGCGCAACACACTCAGCAGAAAAGAAAAAAAAAAAAAAAAACAGTAAGTAACTAGGTTGATCAATGGAACGAAGGTAAAGGCTAACATTTGCACCAGGAAGGCGTACGTGGGCTCAGTATGACAAATGACTAAAAACTGAACGCCCACTTGCACTGTACTTTCAAATTGAACAACACTGTAGCATGCGCCATATAACACTCTTTTTCCACAGAAATAGTAGCTTAAACAGTTACCAGGGTCACTATACCTACACATTACGAAGAATCTTCGTTAACACTTAAATGTCAGATACAGTGCAGTGTTTTAAAACACTAAATAAAGCTGCTTTGTCCTCCAGTAGGGGAAGAACAGTGTGGCTTTCTGTCATTTGCATAAAGAAAGTCACAGTTAAAGTCCACTTGGTTTTTTCCCCCCATCTCAGAATTCCCCTTCCTCTTGTGTTTGTATTTACAAAGAATAAATAGTAAACAACCAGTAGAGAGACCTCATCGTCGTTCTGTCATTTCAGTGCTGCTCCTTCTTTAGGTCAAAGTCCTCCAAACTTATGGCAAAGAATCCCACCTTGGTTAGGATAAAAATGTTTTCCTCAGCTGCAGATGCCACTTTGCTTCCATTCACACAATTTCCTGCTCCGAGTCCTTGGATATGAGTGATTCTGTGCTGCTTCCCTGCTCCTGCTGGGCTTCATGAAAACTGCATTCAATAGCAATCAATGTCCTTGGCTCATCTAAGTAACAAGGGGAAAAAATATGGCAAAGTTAATACTCTGTGTTTGGACATTACCTCCTTAAAGTGGTTTAAAGATAAATGATCATTACCTGAAGGGTTACTAATAACAATGGGTGTTTTTGAGGGGGTTCTTCTTTGTATCTTTTCCTTTTTGCCGTTGCAGTGGATCAGCGCCGACACAAGGACGATGAAGACGATGAGACACATCATCAGGACCCCAATGACCGCAAACGACTCCATCGGCCATGGCTGTTCTTTGTTCCCGTCTTCAAAGCAAGAAGATACATTTTACCCTCACTGAAAATAAGCATAAAAGCTCAACAGAGATGCTACTGGATCCTCTCTTACCAGGTTTCACTGGATTGTTCTCTGGGTTGGTCACGGGTAGAGTTGTCGGAGGTTGAGGTAGTTCACATATGATGTCAGAAGATGCATTTCCTTGGAATACAATTATATGAGTTGGATCTGGACACCTTTGGGGAAAGAATCCCAGTTAGTTTAATTTGTTTCTGTCAAATCAGCATTTCAGCAGCCAAAAAACAAAAGTTTAAGGGAGAAAGGTAACTCACCTGGTACTGAAGGCTTTACAGTTCTGGTGAATTTGGTCATTAAAGGTTCCTTTAGGACAAGGCCTGCAATCACCTGTAAAAGGTAGTTTGTTTTTTTTAAGCTAATTTCCAAAACATCAAGTTTGCTCAATGGTCACAACCCAGTATTTGCAGATATACATACGCTTTTTTGTAGGTTCCTCTCCTTTTCCACACTCGTCCGTGCAGAAGGTACATTCTGCGTCTCCACAGCGAAGACCTTCCTTACACTTGCACTGTGTGTTACTTTTGGGGGTACAGTCTTTGAAATGGACAAGAGCGCCTGCAAAAGATGGAAGTAAGAAATCAGGCTGAGATGGAGCTTCAATAAAAATGTATTTTTCTCCTTAATGAGATAACATACCAACACACTGGATGCATGATGGACATTTAAAACCCAACGACTGATGTGTATATGTTCCATTTTCACATGGAGTGCAAAGCTTTTGAGGATTTGGGCCAGACGGTTTGACCAACCGATTCCCTGCAAAGAAATCCACACATGCAAAATCACAAATCAGACACCAACAGCTCTGAGTATTTACACTTTATCATGCATGTACATGGATACCTGCCCCAGCAAATCAAAACTCTAATAACTGTGAATCAAAGCCGTAAAACATCTGGGTGAATCCTGTTACTCAGAGGAATCCCAGACTGGATTAATCAGTCGTATCAGCCAAGCGTTTGTTGTGGGATTAGGTGAAAAACCACTGAAACTATATTTGGTCACATGCAGCCACCACAGAGGAACTCCCCAAACCCAGGAATACTACTTTTTTTTCTTTCCATTTTCATTTGTCTGTTTAAAGATTACAGAACAATTCAAGCAAATTCGAGAACTTGTGCCTTTTTTTTCATCAAACATATCAAACATTGTAAATGTGAACTGCATTTTTTAAGCTTTTATTCTTGTTGCATTCCTTCTAACTGCACAATCATTCATAACATGCATAAAACTAACAAAATATTGTTTCATTCTTTGATTTTCCACTCACCAGGATGACATTCAACACACTTAACGAAGCCCTTGACTTCTGTGTCTGGAACCCATTTCTTGCAGCCAACTTCAACGTCTCCAAGGGTACGCAGGAAACCCTGGGCGAGAAGAGTGAGACCCAGCATCCAGAAGAACCCGGCCATCCTGAAGTGTCGGCTCCCAAACCTCAGCGATAATCCAAGAAAATAAATGCTCACTTTTTCTGCTTTGTTAATCTAGAATCTATCAGCTTCACTGAGATGACGTTGTCTCCAGCTGAAGCTCTGTCTCGTAAGCCTCTCTCTGCTCAGACTCAGCCTGCCACCAGCTGGGCTCGGCTTTAATGACTGAGGGGAGGGAGGGGGGCGTGGCTTCATCTGCAAACTCAACATTTATTTCCCACCTTTAAACGCAAGTTAAATTAAAATAACATTTTTGCATTTCTTTATCACTTTAAAAAGAGGGGAAAAAACATTAATTTCAGTGAAAGTTAGGCACAATAAATGATGTAAAGATGTGGAAATGTGTTGCAGCTTGAAAAGCAGAACAAACAACACCATTTACACCCCTGATATAAAATATGTCATATATGTGTGGATGTTTTACTGAATGTTTTGGTGACAACTTGGATCAATTAAGTTTCTTCTGTTTCCATCTGTCTGAGACATATTATTTCACTCCATTCCTTGTTACAGCTGGAAAATGAGGTCAAACATTTCTCTGATTTTTAAATCTCCGGTCCTGGCAGGCTTTTTCAGCGGGAACAGGATCCACGAAGACATGACCTGGAAGTCCCAGGCGTGGGAAAAACGTTCCCTTAAACACGGTCAGTCATAATTCATAACAAACCTGTCTTAAGCAGTTTGCACAACCAACATAAAACAGATTTTAAGTGCCTGACACTTTTCTAGATTCATAGATTCATATTGGTATGTGATGAATTTATAGAAAGGGAAAGTCATCATCTTCATTTGCGTTGTTATTTTTGCTCCCCCCATGTCAGGAAACTGTTTTTATTCCTGGATCTGGATCTTTTTGTGCCAGAAAACAGATTAGACAGATTAGCCTTCATTATTCTCCTTTCAGCATGAACAGCCATGCAGAGAATTTGTGTGAAGAAAGACTTTACACTTACAGGCCAGACCTGCTCAGAAATGCTGATTCCACTGGCCTTGTTAGATACCAATCGTTCATGGTGTGGCTTTTTTCACAACAGTTTCCAGACTTCATCAACTTTTCACTCGTTGAGTCCAAAACAATTAAAACAGAAAACAAAACAAAAAAATCTAAACTGTGCCACACAATAGATTCAGTGGATTTAAAAACAGTTTATCATACACGTCTTTTCATATTTTCATTGTATTGAGTCAAGCACGCATCAAGCACGCATCATGATGAATTATGTGAAATACAACTTATGATCTCCTCACACCATGTGACACTGATTAAGCCTGAAGTTTAAAAAATTCCAGGCTCCTTTTCTAAATCACGCACATTGTTTTGAGACAGCAAAACTGAAAATAAAAGCACAATGTGAGTCCCTTTTGTTTTAAAATGAAAATTAGTCAACCTAAAATAAATTACTCTTATTTATTTCCTCTGAAAAGATTGTTTCCTTCCAGTAAGTGTCTTAAATGTGGGGGAATTTATGAAGATGACATGCCATCGGCTCATCCCAGCATTCATAATCAGGTGATAAACTATAAACAATGCAACATCATTACCAAATCACCTTTGTCATCTTCTCATCATCTTCCCTTGACATATAAAAGATGATCTTTGACCTTCTAAAGATTCACCTCCTTCTATGTACAGATTGCACAAGTATGATGTCAAAAGTGAACACCTCTTCTAACTCTTGTCTCAGAAACACTTCCCACTCTTACCCCTAAACGCCCCCTTGCCCCCTGCCCGCTGTCAGGCAGTGTAAACTCCCCCCCTCCGATTAACATACTGACTTGGGAAATACTCCTAAATCGTTCGGTAAGCAGCAGTAACATTCAGCCTGCTGGTAAATGACTGCATGTAGTTGCATGTAGGCTGACATGTAGGTTCGGTGACAGTCGCGTCAGCTCCGACCGAAAAGAACAACTTATTTTTATTTGCGCTTTTAATTTTAAAGACGCGAGCGTTTGAAATAGGTCGCTTCTGATATTTTAACGCGCTGTTTAATCTGCCTCTGCAGCCGAGTGATGTCACTTCCTTCCTGGCCACTGACGCCCCTCTCGTGAGTGGGAGCGTGGAGTTGCTTTCTCTCACGCACGCGCTCTTTCTGTCTGTCTGTACGTGTCTGTGCGCGCGTGTGGTTGGTGGGCTCAGTCAACTGGTGGTCTCTCATGCTGCACTTTGGTGTCTGAACATTGTGAAAGTAACGTCTACCCACTGGGAAAGTACACGCAGCTCGGAGTTTCCACGCAGGGGGGTGTTAACGTGAACTGTCAACGCAGATGAGACTATGACACGTTTGGTGTGGCGCGTTTTTGGTATTATTATTTTTTTTTTTGTATTTTTACCACCATTTTCTTCCCATTGGAGCATCGTTGCATCCACCTATTTGATGAAAGTTCAAATTACATTTTCTTATGAGAAATGAAACCTTTGTTTCACTGTTAGTGCAGAGTGTCTCCATCTTGTGGCGTTCATGCAGTTGACACTTCAATCTTGATGCAGGAGTTTTCAATTAATTTTAGTAGGCAAGGCAAAGCTTTCCAGATGAGGTTTTGGGTTTTATGTGAAAGTAAAATCCGATAGGATGGTAAAGCAGAAGTTGTGGAGCTGGATGGTGGGCAGGAGTCAGCGCAGCCCGGACCGCGGTACTCGGTAAAACTGCGTTATTTTCTGATCGTTTTCTATGGAAACCAGAATTTGCATCTCGAGCAGCCTGAGCTACAGTCAGTCATCTTTTGGATCAGACCACATGTGCCCATGACCTTAAGACTGCACCTTCCTTGAACCAGTTTTTAAAATATATATATAAATAGAGCTGCAGTTTTGGACATGTTTTGACCCAGTTGTCTAAGAAATCTGTCAACTTTCCTGACCTTAACCCTAATCAGCTTAAAATGCAGCTTAACTGCACATTCAGGTTACAACAGGAAACAGATTGGTGCCTCACCTGCAGCGACGCGGTAAAGAAAGAGCAAATCTCTCCGTTTTGGACCTGTTTTTAACCTCTCTAATAGCTGATGTTGATCTAGATCTTGAATACCAAACTGCTGGCATTGGGTTCCACTAAACTGTAGCTAGGCTAATAGTCTTAGTATTTAGGAGGAGTTTGGAATAGAGGTTTTCTTTGCTCTTCCCTTTTCTCGCTCCAGAACGAGCTGGAAAGTGTTAAGAGAGACGGATCGCCGAGGTTTCCTCCTCCTGCACCCGTAAGACTCAGATACACAGAAACACTGCAGGAAAGCTTCACTTAATTACTGAAAAACTTTAAAAGTTATTAAACAAAACGTTCTGATGCTTCCAAAAAACGTAGAACTATCAATCAGGGTTCTGAATTCCCAACAATTGAGCAACACAGTGTGTTTGTATAGTTCCAGTGATTTATCATGTGCAAGATTAGAAAAGGACGTTTCAGTTCAATGTCCGACAATAAAGACAAAAAGTTGAACAGATATATTTTTAATTCTTATATATAATAAATTTCTATGTACATTTTATTCTTCTTTTGTAACGAAACAAAATGAAAGAGAAAGCTTTGATTGCAAACAGTGTTTCATACTTAAAGGGAGAGACAAAATGAAAAAGTGCTCATAAAACTAGAGTGTTGTTTCCCTGTTGTAGATATTCATTAAGTAGATGCGACAGGGGTTTGCCGTTGTTTAGCAAGGGGATTGGTTATTCTGTTGGCCAGGATTCCCCTTGAAGTCACTTTAAACTCATGTGAAATGATGAGAATCACAAACAAACAGAAAATTGGCAACATAAACAGCTCTGACATAAGAAAGAACGATCCACCACGTAATGCGAGGCGCCGGCTTCTCTCGCCGGCTTTTTACGACGCTAAATCAGCGAACTGGTTTGGCAGTTCGATAGTTGTGCTCACATTTCTGCTGATGTTGCTGTGCTTTAATCAAAGTGTTAGAAATGTCCAGGTTCAGTCGCCTCACCTGATGGGATTAACGACCCAGAGGATGTGAAACGTCCACACACTCCTGGTGAAATGAAAGGTTTTCGTCACGTGAAAATGTGACGATCTGATCAATTATTTCAGAACTTTTTCCACCTTTAATGTTTGTTTTTTTTTACTGTTTCCTGTTTGGGGACCGTTGTGTTTTTCATTATGATTTGCATTTTGTGTGAGTTTGTTTGTCCACAGGATTTTTGAAGCTTTAAATCAGGTTGTTGCTAGACCGCATCAACCTTTTGTCATGTAAAATAAAACAAGTGTTATATATGTTCTCTACCTACTGAATTATGTTTATGTAAATGTAAAACTGTTACTTTTTGGTACTTTTCTTCTGAAAAAGTACCTCTGTACAGTGACATTGTTAAGGTATTTTGTTATTCTCTCCTTAAGCTTCTGCTTTAGCTGAATAATGCAAATGTGAGGAAAATCCTTTTGGCACAGCTGAAATTGATTTGACGTTCGTGAAATTCCCTATAATTCATGTCAGATATGAACTGAAGAAGATTGAATCATTTAATGTTGTGGAAACTTATGCAACCGGGTTATTGCCGCATTTATGTTTAGTATATTTTACCTTTTGACAGATTTACTTGTTTTCCAGGTGAATAATAGAGATAATATTTTTACATTAAAGGTGGAAAAGGTTGTAAAAATGGTTTATTTAGAACCTTTTGCAGTTACGGGGTGTGTAGACTTTTGACATCTGTTGCATGTTTGACAGCGAACGGCTGAGAAAGCGGAAAGTGGCCTCTGATTCACAAAGGGTGATGTCTGATTGTCTGTCAGGAATCTTAGAGGAGACAAACTGCGACAACATCATCAACGCAACATGACCACATAAATAACATCACAAAATCTTCCAGTGTACGGATTCATCCTTTAGAACAAGAGGGAACCTTATTCCCTCCAGCTTAGTTAATACTTCAAACAAAACGAATTCATAACATTTCTTTAAAGCAGTTCAGACATGCACGACGCAGCCTTGGTCAAACTGGCAGCCGGTTGTTGGGTCCTCAGATCACGGTTAGTGTTGGCAAGCTGCTGGCGACGAAGCCCCAGAAACGGCAGAGACACAAACAGACGTGAGTCCAGAGTTTTGGGTCTGGGTCTGGGGGATTGAGATCCAGTTCCAGCCAAGGCAAAGGTCTCGCTGAACAGACGACGTCTGAGGTTTTACCCCAGATTGTCTGCGTGGCAACTTCGAAGACGTCACCACACCGAACAGAACTAACGTTTCACAAACTGTACATGGGGGCTGGAGGGGTTCAGGTGGAGCACCTGTGCTTATAGCGAGAGGAATCCTTCCTCTGTGCTAACGCAGCCCGTTCCTGTCTGCGGACATCGGGAAGCTGAGGGGCCGCGGAGGGGCCCGGGTGGTATCTACATTCTGAACGTAAAGCTGCAGCACGTAACTTTTATTGAAAAATAAATCTGTTCTTTATACATTTACTAAAACTGTCACCATGTTGTGACAGGCTAATATGAGACCTCTACACCCTCCTACTGCTGTCTAAAGAAATGCACCACTCCCAAAAACAACCAATGAGAGCCAGGAGGAAGGTCTCAGTGCTGCTCAAAAACTTACTGTTAAAGGAAAACTGTTTATCCACTGTCATAGGTGCACATGCTAACTAGCATTCTGTAAAAGTCCATTAAGAGTTGTGTAATGTTTTTCATCATCACATATTTTATTAAAATTTTCATTAATGCTTTACAGATGTTTTTATTTTTTCAATATGATTGTATTTAATAAATTAATATCGACTGATGAGGGATTGTATTCTTGGATTTCTCTATAATATTTAGGTGGTGACTTGATATAAGCTTGTAGGGTTTTTGATTCTTCCTGCATCGATTGCAGGTTTCTGGTTGCAATCTTTAAAAAACCAGACCTGCTGATTCTAATTTTGGCCAAAACAGATTTTTTTTGTCTGAAATGTTAATAAATTTAGCAAGAAAGCCAGTGAGTTGGTAACAGTGGAGTCAGTATTGGTATCTGCAAACGTGCCAACATGAACCTCAGCGGTTCATTTCCAGACGGCTTCACATTCAGCCGATCCCAACATGAAGGAAACCTGGGCCGATTTGTTGGTGCATTTAATTTTTTTATCTGCATTCTGCTAATTAAACTAAATATTCATGGGTGAGCAAGGAGGACAATGTGAGAAGTGGGTACATGAGCATGATGGGCAGCGCTAAGTCCCTCCTCCTGGCTCTGATTGGTTGTTTCTGACTGAACTGTGTATTTCTGCAGTTAGATCTGGGAAAAGGTAGAGGAAGTTGAATATTTCACATTTTATCTGTCTCATTGTGTACCGTCACGACACACTGACAGTTTTAAGAAATAAAATAACAACCAACGTCTTTTACAAAAGTTACACACCGCAGCTTTAAGGGTGCTCAATCGACTGAGGAGAAAAAAGAAAAACACCAAGTGAGTTCAGGGAGGATTGTTTTGTGCTCACTGTGTTTTTGTTTTGTTTCTGAAGGCACTGTCCTGTCACATGATGTCCACAAAGAACTCACAGGGGTTGCCCATGGCGTGCTGGAACGACTGGCGGCTGGCGGTGAGCTCCGGGGGGACGGACGCCAGCTCCCTCCCCGGCGGCGCTCCGGGGGGTGTGCTGCTGCTCACCGAGGTCTTGGGGGCGAGGCGAGCTAGGCAGTAAGGGGGAGGCAAGCCTGGGGGGCCGTAGGAGGAGGCGTGGCTCCGCTCGCTCTGCGCGCAGGAGCCCGGCCCCGGCTGGGTGAAGGGGGTGTGGCTGTAGCCGAAGGAGGGGTGGTTGCTCTGGGACAGCGAGTGGCTCCTGTGCGAGTGGCTGTGGCTCAGGCTCGACCTGGCGTGGCTGTGGTGGCTCATCTGGCTGGCGGAGCGGTCGCCCCGCCTCGCTCCGCGGACGCCCGGCTCCGACTCGCAGCACGTCGTCCTCTGAGCCTTCTCCTGCGGGGAGCGTCTGTCTTTGCCTGCGCTGGGGTTCGATCCACTGCTTCGACTTCCTGTTGACAAAGACAGAAAAAGAAGAGGAAGAAGAAGAAAAAAAGATGTTTCAAGCGGGCCTTTTGCAACATTTGCAGAAAACGGCCCAAAACACACTGAGTGGCAGCTGCAACAGATCAGATGGAGCTGACTCAGAACCAGAAAGTCATTGCGGGAAAATAGTAAAAGGTCACACATTAAACAACAGCTTAGAGGAGATTTTGTCAGCTGAAACTGTAAACCGGATAATGTACGTTAAAGCTTATTGTTTAAGATGTGACATTTTTTTAAGGCTGTCTAGGAAAGAGTCACCAGTCAAGAGCAAACATGATTAAATCAAAGGTTTGAGCTTAAAGATCCACCACAACTAAATCATCCTGCAGCTGCTGTTTCTAAAGACACTGAAACATTCACAGTGAAAGCAGCGCTTTGGAAAAACATTCACACCACTTGAATTTTTTATTTCTTTAACAAATTGTTACATTGCAACCAGAAAACTCAATCTATTTTATGATAAGAAATTAAATAGTTTTGGAATTTCACTTGAAATCAAAGTCAAACGTTTTCTTTGGGCTCAAAGCCTTGATCTATAAAGCTGATTCTGAAAAAGCAAATGGTTTTAAAATAAAAAAAAGACATAAAAAATATTACTGGTTGATTTGGAGTCATCTTTTGTGGATATTTAGTGAAATTATTCCATCAAAAATCATAATCATATCATATCAGTATCACTTTTTTACTACAAATGATTTAAGAGCCATTTGAGGCACATGGAACGGAAAATTAATGTTTTGGCCAACAAGTAGATGCTACATGCACATCTCCATCAACACACCATCCCCACAGTGAAAATCGGTTGTGGCAGCATAATGCTGTGGGGGCGGAAAGAGGGATGGGGAGATGGATTCAGGGTAAAAACATGTTACAGGGTAAAAAAAAAAAAACACGAGACAACCCAAAACACACCCAAAGCTACAAATGAATGATGTAATCTAAGCATTTTTATGTGTTTGAATGGCCTAGTCAAAGTGTGTACCCCACAATTCAATTAAACATCTGCAGCCAGAAAAAGTTTCCATGAAGTTGGTAGAGATATTCATTTGTAAATACATCTAAAGACCTGAAACCAGTCATCCACCACAATGCTCTACTATGTTGATTCATAAGATAAAATCTCAATAAATACAATATTTGTGGTTGTAATGCACCATGAAAAGGGTCAAGTGGCTTGAACATGTCTGCAAGGCACTGCACATACACACCAGTGACACACCAGCATCAGAAAAGGCACAACTGGTTTCAGTAACTTACTATGTAGATCATCAAATTCACCTCAAAAAGGCGGTTTTAGAGCAGCTGTGCTGCTTACACTGATGGAGGTGTACCACACGCTGCAAAAACAACATTTCAACTTCTGCAATGAGCCCAACAGTACTGGGTAAAGTGGTGCATGATTGTCCCCTAGCAGCACAAGCCTCAAGATTGATCATCCTGCATCATGCACCTCCCAGCGCACAGAACAAACGCATGCCCAACGGTGCAGAGAGGGAGGAATCGGCTGTCAGGAGAGTCACACAAAGGATACACAGGAACAGAAAAAATCACGGAGCTGGCAAAGGATGGGGGGAGAAGAGAAGAAGGAGAAAACCTTAAAGCTGCGGTATGATAGGTGGAGAATGCTGTGTGGGAGAAAAAGATGAGAGGACGGAGGGAGAGCGAGACTGGAAGGAGAGCGAGACTGGATGGTGAGTGAGAAGAGCAAGAGAAGAGGAAGAAGATGATGAGGAGGAGGAGAGGGGGTTAGCAGGCTTACCGGTTCCCCCAGTGTCCTGGGACTACCTCCTCCTTCAGTCTACCGTAGCCCAGCAGAAACAGAGGGAACAACAGGATTACACACACCTCACCGGCCAGACGTCCCCATCCTAAACCTGCTCCACTGCCTTTCAACTAACTGCTTCCTGCTGCTTTCCTGTCCCTGCCTTATAATCCAATAAGAACAAACACATGCATATGACTAAACAAATTATGTTCTGGCATAAACACAATCCAAAAAAAACACAAAATATTACCAAGTAGTTTTGGTCTGGTTTCTAGTGCAAATATCTTAGTACACTTTTCATAAGACAAAACTAACATGAGTAACTTTTCAGCAAGATATAGGAGCTTATTTTCAGTCAATAACTCCTTAATGGTGATGAAAAAGTATTGGCTCCACTGGCAGATTATTTAACTTATATAAGGGAATAATGGCTTGTTAGTGAAGTGAAATAATCTGCCACTTTCCCCATCAATATTACGGTATCACTGCTTTAAAAACAAGCTTTTATATCTTGCCTAAAAGTTAATTGTAGTTAAATTTGTCTTATTTCAAATGTACAAAGATATTTGCACTAGAAACAAGACTGAAATTATTTGGTAGGTTTTTTGTGTTTTTGCAGCTTAGCAGCAAACCTTCCTTTCTCTTACGTTTGTTTTCTCTGTTCTTGCAAAGACGGGTGAAAAGAATGGCTGAAAGCAAGATATGGCCATGCTTAGATGAATCACTCACAATGATGAAAAACAAACCGATAGCTTAGCTGAATTGATCAGTTTAACATTCCCACTCCATCCCCCCCAAAATCCCTCAGGCTCTCTTCGCTCCTTCAATGCAAAAGAAAAAAAAAAGAAAAAAAATCATGCATCACCAGCACATTTAGACAAAAGAGCATCTGAGAACTCATGGCGAAACAGATGGGATTTGCTTGTGATTCGGGATCACCCGGCTGATCAGATGTCTTTTAGCGTTTTGTACACACCCAGTACTGCAGAGCTGTCCGCTGCGTGACTCAACGCGCTCATGACTGACCTTGACGACAACAGGACGCGTTTTAGGAAACACAGACTGAACGATGGAGAAGGCAATCCAAAAGCAAAGGGCCAGCGCGGCTAGCGTTAAGCATGAGTCACACGCTTGCTAACACTCAAACGTCAGACAGTTTGAGTCAGATTACATTAATTAATGATTTACTGATGGAAAACCGAGGAGGCCCGTCTTGCGCCTTCGTCGCTGCTCACCCTCACTGTGCTGGCTGCCGGCGCTCCCACTGTGGAAACTGTGGCACGGGTCGGAGTATCCCGGCGGGAAGCAAGGGGGCGCCGACGTAAACGGAGGGTAAGGGAACGGCTGCCCGCCAAGAGGCCAGGGGTTGGTGGTGGGAGGTAGCGGCGCCAACGTGTCCTGCTCAGAGCCTCCGCCGCTGGATCCCTCATTCAGATTGAGTGACGCCATGTCTTAAAGCGGGAGAGAAGGATCAAATAAGCATAAAGAAGTAACAGAGGGGCTCAGTTATGAAGGAATAAGCGTCTATACTTTGGCAGAGGTCCCCAAATGTGTAGTAGCACTGTTCGGAGAAGGTGATTTTGTTGACGGTGTGTCTCAGGTAGCCGTGTTTCAGCAGACTGCTCGCGTACTTCCTTGCATCTCGCCGGTCCTTGAAGCCTTCCACTCTGGAGTAAAGCCAGTCCACCACATCAGCACCTACACGCAGCGACACACACACACACACAAACACGCAGATATGGTGGCTCCAGCTGCGACACACATGCTGGAAATGCTGCTGACACAACAAAGTGACCCTAGAGACTACAATGTGCAAGCACGAGTAATTTTGATACCATCACAGCTCACAGCATTGTGTGTAGTGAATATCCTTTGTAGTTTCTGTTCAGTTCTGTGCGACTTACAGTAAATTGGCTTTAAAACCACAGAATGCATGTGCTTCTAACGTTTTGCTCGGCTCTTCTCACCTATGACGGCATTGGCGATGGTGATCTTCAGCCACATCCTGTCGCGTATCTCCAGGCCAGAGTCAGGCAGCTGCATCACCTTCACAATGGTTGCCATGTCTGTTTTACCGACCGACAGAGGCAGGTCATCAAATTCTGAGATAAAGAAAGAAAAGGGGAAAAACACATATGTATTTATCAGAATCTGAATTATTACTCTCAATGTAATGAAGAAGACTCTGGCTGTTTTTACCGTAATGTGGATAAGGTCCCGTCAGCGCTGTGGTGTGAGAAATCCAGGCTGCAGGGTCGATGGGTCTCACTGGCTCCGCTGAGCACATTAAACAAAAATGCTCAGGTAACTAACTTGACATTTTGCCTTGTTCAATTTTATCTCACTGCAACCACAAATTTAAGAGCCTTTTCTTGGGATTTTATGTGACAGACCAACATAAAGCAGGGTAATTGTGATGTAAAAGAAAAAATTGTGGATTTTATTTAGCTCTAAATAAAATCAAGTCACCTAATTAGTACATTCATCTGTTAAGATCATATGTGTTTAATCTGACGACAAACAAGAGGATGATTATGAAAAAGAAGCAATCAGAAAGCCACCGTCTTAAAGAAACCAGAGGAAGTTCTGGCTGAAGCCACATGCCATGTAAAGACGCGGAAAACAACGATTAATTGAGAAGAAAACGGAAGTTTCATGCAAACTTTCAGAAAACTAATGTTGCAAGCCATTCTGAGCAGAGTCTGCTGAAAAGTGGAAGTTGCAGCGTCATGCTGCGGCTGCGCTTTTCTTTTAACAGAGACGCCCAAATGCCCGGTAAGGGCGTATGCAGGGGGATGCATACAAATGCAGAGAAAACTTTTCCGTTACGCATTACTTTGTGTTTTCGCTAAACACGCTGAAGTACTCTGAAGTTTGTGGTGGTGATGTGACCAAGTCCAAGGGGTGTGAATACTTTTTGGAGCGTCATCTCTCCATAGGTGACTGAGGAAGATCTTACCACGAGGGATGGTGAAGTAACTCCGCGGAGACGGATCCCAACATTTGGCAACAGTGAGACTAATAGGGCTAAAAAGGAAGAATTTAAAAATAAGTAAACGGAAAAAAAACATCTGCAAACATAAGGTATAAACTGAAAAGAGTGGAGAGGCATATTAAAAAATAAAAGACAAAGTGTGAAAATTAAAATTGTTGTTCTTCTTTACGTACACATTATCAGATTTATTAAATGGTATTTAATTACATTAAATAATAATAAGTTGAAAAATGGTTTAGGACAAATCGTAGATGCCGCTGTATATAAATATTATACATTGGCAGGTTTGGGTGTTACTATGGAAACCCCGATGGGTCGCAAACTAACAGCTGCCTTCATATTTATTCAAATCTGTGTGAAAGATGTGCCAAGAAATTAAAATAAGGGAATCTTTTATTGCTGCAGCATAATTTCACGCTGAAATATTTAGAAAAAAAATCCACCATTTAATTTTAGTGCATTTGTGGGAAAAGTCGGTTGTAGGAATTGCTCTGGGTTTAGAAAAAGCCCAGAGCAATTCCTATAACTGAAGCTTTTTAAAAATATTTGTATTTTATTGTTTTTGTTGAACAATGAACCTTTAATCAGTATTTATATGATCTGACACAGATGTACGTCTATCATCTAATTTTAAAAATAGGAAAGACAAGATTATATTAAACCACTTCAGTAAAAAGTGGAGTTTTAGTAAATCTTAACGAGGGTGACGGTAAATATGGATTGTATGTATGCAGCCTAAAGATGTAAGGGAAAATTTGACAGCCGGCATGCCTCAACAATCTTTTAAAAATTATTTTGTAGTTATATAAATCCAACTTTTCGACCAAATTAAAGCAGGGTTTCCCCCAGTGTATTTTAAGCCTGGCGGGCCACCAGGCTTTACTTGTGCTCTCACTATGTCTTTTTAGACTTTATAGTTGGTGTTCAGGTATTAATCTTCCAGTCTTTCAATAACGTATAATTATCAAGTGATATTTTCAAATTTCCTGTGAACTTTAAATATTTTTTAACTCAAAAATACGACGGGCTGCTAGATGAATGACTGCCCTAACAACCAACCACCAGGCTTAGCAAGTTTTCTGGAGTGTGAATATTTTTTACACAGCACAAACAGAGAGTTTTGTACGAATCGATGATGTTCGCCAACAGTAACTGAGTGAGTTCGATGCTCTTACCCAGTCTTAGAAACGATTTCTCTCAGGATCCTCACAGCGTCATCGTTGCTCATGTTCTCAAAATTCACATCATTCACCTGGTTCACATCAAAACATTAAGGTCAGGTTTCACTGTGCAGCTTTTAGGACCTAAGTATCATTTTGAACATTTGATGAGAGAGGAAGCTTGGATGTTTTTGTTTACAATGGTGCGTTAAGAGCTTTAAGGCCTTCAGATTCATACAAATCCTAAACCGTACATAAAAGGCAGCGATCACAGAAAATACAATCAGCCTTCACGTGCTTAGACGATGCGTAACAACAAAACTCTTGACGTACAGAGATCACAAGACGGCAACCGCACAAAGGAAAACAGCAACATAAAAGCCCTGCTACGGAAGTGAATAAGATGTGGTTATCGATATGCTTTCAAACCCACAGACGTAGACACATTCATGTCTTTTCTGTGACGCATTAACTGTGGCAGCTAACGAGTCACTGGTGCACATGAAGAAGACAGATGCTTATCATGAGTTTTCAATTTATCACAAAGGATTTGTAAAAGTGGAGGTGTACCTGCAGGAGCATGTCTCCTGGTTCTATTCTGCCGTCAGCAGCCACGGCTCCTCCCTTCATGATGGAGCCGATGTAAATGCCGCCGTCTCCCCGGTCGTTACTCTGACCTACAATACTGATGCCCAGGAAGTTGTATTTCTCTGTCAAAAAGCAAAAGGGAAAAAAAGTGTGAGGAGTAAGAAATAAAGAAAAATCAAAAAGGCAAAGATCTCATTTACCCATGTTGAGTGTGACGGTGATGATGTTGAGGCTCATGGTGGAGTCCGTGATGCTGCTGAAAGATGAGGACTAGAAAGGGAGAAAGAGGTAAATAAAAAGTGACACAGAGTCCATATCAATCAGCTCTCTCATCGCTTTCCGCTGCTCGGCGTCAGCGTTCATTTGTGCTAAGGCGCTGACGGGGCTTAGAAGTGCGTACCCGGTCTATCTTGGCCATTTTGTGTCTCCGTCTGCGCCGCTTGTGTCTGCGCATGAGCTGCGAAGAAGAACTTTGTTCTGTGGAGCTGCTGAGCCTGAAACACAGAGAGGGAAAATGGTGTTTCAGAAACAGAACGAGAGGGAAAATGAGACGCAGCCGATTAAAAGGCCAAGTTGACAAAAGCAAGCTGACCTAAGACTGCTTCAGTCCCTGAGCCGCTTGTCTTTTGGGAGCCAACTTCAGTCGGCATGGATAATTAAATACGTGGGAGAGTCAAGGTTGAGTGGAGAAACGAAATGTTTTGTTTGCAGGCAACCACAGCAAAACAATGAACTTGGATTATTTTACAGTTACAGTCCATCAATAGAGGAGTATTTATATCTCTATTGGTCCTGATATTGAAAAAAATCTTAGATTGGGTATTGGTATATAAAGGCAGATCTATTCAGTGTAATTCTATACTTTACTATTTATTTCACATTATATGTTTGTTGCAGTTTATTTTTTCATGTGGTCAACCTATTGCTTTAGTCAGTTTCTTTATTATTTACATTACAATGGCTGTTATTGACTGAACAAATTAAAGTTGTTTTTAAATGTTTGATCAAGCTAGTGAAGCTACTGGTGTATTTAAATGTGCTGCACTGATGCAGAGTTATCAAATACATTTGTAAATCAGTACATTTATGTCTGTTTTTAAAAAAAGAAATATTTTAAGTAATTTCAGCGAAGTTTTGCTGTATCAGATCGGTATCGGCTGATAATAAATCAGATATTTGTATCGTATCGGAAGTAAAAGAACATGGATCGATTTGTTTCTATCCATCACAAGGCAGCAGAGAGAGAAACAAGACCACTAAAAGTCAAAACAAAAGAAGAAGTCTGTCATTTTTTGTTTCTATTTTATTATATAGCAATAATTATGTAATTAATCATATGTTATTCGATTAAAATTAGACAATTGCAGAATTTTAAAACTGTAAAGAAAAGCATATTCTTTTAAAGCATCTTCTAAACAGATGTTTGTTTTAGGGATGCACAAATATGAAAATTTGGGCCGATACCGATATCCAATATTAGTATTGCTTTTATGACCCATATGCAATATGGATTATTTTTTTAAATGTTTTATTGGCCCTAGTGGCCTTTATTTGACAGTGAATTGACAGGAAAGCAGATAATGAGAGAAAGGGGAAGACATACATCAAAGGTCACCAGGTCGGGAATCAAACCTGCGACGGCCGCATCCAGGATTCAGGCCTCCTTATGTGGCTTGTGCTTAACCTCTGCACCACCACAGCACCCAACCTATACGCAATATTTACCTACGTATATTACATATATAATTCACTGACTTCACTGCTTCCCACAATCCTGTGCTGCATCGCTATCTCTGTCACATGACCAAACTCGCCTAGAGTGGCCTATTCAAAGTCTAGACTTAAATCTAGATCTAAAACTCTTCACTGCACCTGAATTTTAAAAAATCTGCAAAGAAGAATGGAAAACTCCTCCAACTCTGAATATTGCAAAAACAATTATTACAATAAAACGACTTATTAGTTTTAGGAAACAATTATTTTTCAAACTGGACCAGGTCCGTTTGGTTAGCTTCTTTTCCCTTTGATACATTAAATAAAAATATATATATATTTATTAAGTGTTTCTTTATCTGATAGTAACATTTGTTTGATATCTGAGATTTTGACCATTTTAACAGATGTGAACCACCACGACTTGTGTGCATCGTTATCTCTTATGATGTGAGGAGGCGCATTACCTGCTGGCATCCTCATCCTCCTCGCTGTCAACAAATGAGCTGGAGTCCAGCTCGCTGCTCATTACCGAGGCGCTGTCGTAACCCATGGCCGAGTCCCTGGCGGTGCGCTCGGATTTAGAGTGACCGTTGATGCGAGGGACTGCAGAGAAAGAGAGCAGAAGAAGCGCTGTGAGTCAGAGTCTGAGGTCATGTTGCTCATCGCAGGCTTGGATCAGGATGAGAGGGAAAAACAGGAGTCAGGGAGCAACATAAACATACACAGCAGAGGTTTTTAAGAGTGGAAACTGGAAGTGCAGCTCCTAAAGTTTGGAGAAATTCTCGCCCCGGTCCGTACGTACATTGCCTTTGAGGCGGCGCTGTCTCGGGGTAACAGCGGACTTGGCGGAAAGGTGTCAAGAGGCGAAAAAGGCGTGGCCGCCCGTGTTTTCGCCTGGAGCGAGTAAAACATTCCAGCCACGCCGGGGTTTCCATGGCCCTGACGAAAGCTGAGCTACTGCACATGAACGGGTCGGGATTCTCACCCAGGCATATTTCTTCCCCCTCAATATGACAACAGAGCAAAAAAAAAAAGAAAAGAAAAACAAATGTGCAGGTTCACGGAGCCAGACAGAAAATGTGCGTCTTTGTGATGCCCGCCGCTCTCTAAGCCTCAGCCACCAGCTGGCTGCTCACAGCTCATCTACAACAGAGACAGTAAGGAGAATAAGCAGAAATCCTCGAAATCAAGTGAGCATTTTACCTCAAAGACAGTCAACTCAACTAACCTGTTAATAAATTAATTATAGATATCACATAATTCATAACACACCGATAGGAAGTGAAGAATTGTAACTAAATAATCATTACAATGCTATATTTTGACAAAACATTTCCAGTAAATGAATCCTGAATCGTTGTTTAACGTCACCTCACCTCAGCTGAAAGTCCATCCCAAAGTGACAAAGTGAGTAAAGAGTGAAGAGAAAGTATTTCCTCCTCCCTCCGTCCCTCCCTCGCTCACTCCTCATATGGCATGCAGCTATACAGTAGACCCTCACACTAATCTGCACCCGACCAATCAGACGACAGGATTCCAACAAACAACACTGGTTTTGGGATTATAGGCGACCTGCAGCCAGGTAAAAACAACTTTATTTAAGTTTAAATAATTACATACGACTTATATCGTTAAAAGAAATGCAAGACTCCTTTAAAACGAAAAGACAGCGGTTTGATTTCAGAGGCTGCTTTTCCTTTCTGCTCTCTGTTAATACTTTAATACTAGCAAAAGTGCTTTGGCTTAGCTGTATTTTCTTTGACCTCAATCCAGACAGCAGGGAACATCATTACAATTAATGTAAAAGGAGCACTCTCAATACGTTTTTCTCTTTTTATTAGAAAAAAATGCACTGAAATTTTTATTTTTTCCAGATTCCATGACGCTATTTGGGTCAAAAATTGGCTTCTTAACATTTTTCATGTAAAAATGTTTCCAGACATTTATGTGCAACTGTGTTTATGTCCAAGACATTAAAGTTCACTAGTTTAGGAAGGAAAGATATGAGGATGAAGAAAGTAAGAATGAAGGAAGGAACAATGAGGAATAAAAGTTAAGGACACAAAGGGAGGAAGTAAGGAAAGAAGGTAGGACTCCAGAAAACAAGAGAAACGGGTATGACGGAGGGAAGGAAGGAAAACAAAATGGAGGGGAGGGCACCACGTTAATGTGTACTAAAATTAATAAGCACTATTTTTTTCCAGACTCTTATTTTCTTTTTCTATACATATGCACAACTGAAAAATAGCGAAATCCACATCCTTCGAGATCTGCTTCATTTTTTTCGTTAAATCATCAAGTGTGACGGGATGAGTTTGGTGGAGCGACAAACGGCTCATCACGATCGTTCTCACACTAAGCAGGAATCACCTAAAGCGTGTGGATGAGGTGTCAGGGAAATTCCTGCTGCTCATCATGATGCTGCCGGCAGCGAGGCAGCAAGGTGGGGCGCCGCTGCCACTTCCTGCTTCATATGTCCAGCTCTCCTCACTCAGCCAAACAGAATTACACTTCACCAGGCCCTGCTTGCCAGATTTATGAGCTGCTGGTGAACCCTCAGGGGCCATCTTGGCTCCCTCTGGTGGTTTCATTTAATTAGCTCTAACAAACACGCAGGCAATAAGGGGAAGAGGGACTGGGTTTCACTGAAGAGGATGTAGGATGTTGTAACCAGAAATTGGAGTGGAGGATGCAGGACGATGCCCAGTTTGTTTGTCTGGGTTACATCTCACCCGAAAACAAAGCCAAAACAGCAGATGTTCGGTTTGCTTGTAACAGCAGTGAGAAGGAATCTGTTGCCAAATCAAGATCCCAACAAAATCCAGCAGAGTATTTATTAGAAGATAAATCTCTGGGAATGCAGAGAGAGAGAGTCCTGCAGAGGAATTTACACGAGCTGAAGCTCCACTGGGACTTTATGGGGCAGACCAGCAGAAAATAGCACATACTGGTACAGCTGGGAAAAAAATCTGAAAAATGTGGCATGTATTTATATCGATGTCACCTCCCGAGTTTGTATTTGGTGCATCTGTAAGTTTTATTTTTACACATCTATAGATGGACATTTTTGCCCATCCTTGTTTAAAAATAGCCAAATAAAAAGCAGAATAACTTAAAATTTTAAACAGATTTTTGATCGGACATTCTAACAGATGAATGTGCTTAGAGCTAAACTATTTTATTGTACCTCTGGCTGTATGCATACTGTTGGGATTCTTTTTATTACTTATTTCTAGTATGTAAATGATACCTAGCTTCCCGTTTATTACAAACATTTCACAAAAACTGAAGGACACTAGAACCAAAAGAAATAGTCGGCATATTAGAGAAGGAGAGAGAAGAAGACTTGCTCAGTTGTTGTGTATTTTTAGCTCCATCATCTTTCCATCAATTCTGATCAGTTTCACTTTCTCCTGCTGCAGAGAAGCATTCCCACAGCATAATGCTGCCATCACTGTGTTTCACTGCAGATGGTGTGTTTACAGTGAGGCACAAAAAGACACATTTTGGTCTCATCTGACCAGAGCATTTTATTCCACGTATTTTCTGAGTGTTTTTTTCTCTTCCAGATTTGGAGAATGCAGGAATAATAATTATCTTGTCAACTTAAATCTCAAACCTGAGCTTCTCCAGACTTCAGGCTCCTTCTCTGTCAGCTAAGTGGCCAGCTCTTTCTGTGCCGATCTATTTTTGATAAAAGAGTTGTTGTGTGACTTGTTCCTGTTTTAAACGTCTCCACATCTTTAACCCTTGATCCATCTGAAGCCGTTTGTTCATTAATATTGTCTGACAAATCTCTGAGGCTGGGAGAGAACAGATGGGTTATACAGAGAATAAAATACATACAGATTAACTCTATAAATTAGGAGGCTTCTGAATGCATTTGATTTTACTCAGGGGGTATTAGAGTAAAGTTGACTGAAATGCAGTTTCTTCTTCTCTGTTCTGCTCTATCATATAAAATAAACACTCAACTTTGTGGCTAAAACGCAGCAAAATATGGAAAAGTTCAAGCAGTGTAATCACTTTTACGAGGCTTAATTCATGCAGTTGCATTAATAATATGGTTTAATGTGGTTCCAGCATCTGAGAGCCCTTCCTACAACCCCAAACTGATGCTGATCTGTCATCCTAATTGCACCACATAAATTAATGAGTATTGGGTTAATGAGCCAGCGGCGCAGGATGTTCGGAGCCTGGCTCAATGCGAGGAGGACGGGGGAGACGCACAGAGGGAGAGCGAAATCCAGTTCAGCTGTAAACAGCAAGAGCAGAGAGCAAGCAGCTCAATCTGTGACTCATGTTTCACCTAAATCCTCTCTGTAGTCAAGTACATCATTTCCAGACTGACCATGTCAGAGTGGTTTGTATTTCAGAAGCAACTCCTGCAGATCCCCCCCCCCCAATATTTCATAAAAAGCAAACTTATGACCAGATCTAACCATCGTTCAGACTGGAGTGTGACTGGCAGGAGGAAATCAGAGTCCTGAGATGTGGAAAGCAGATGATTATTGGGCAAGACAGCAAATCCCAGAAACTTAAACCCACTGTGAACTAATTCACTTCTTATTTTCTTCCCACTGAGAATGTGAAGCGGCTATAGAACGAGTCGTACCGCTACAACGCGAGGGGCTTCTGCAGAGATACGCTGTGTCTTGAACTTGGTCACTTTTTTCACATTATGACCACAATCACCATTTTATGTGGCAGATACCCTGTACAGCTGGCTGCTGTAAAGTGGAAACCAGATGAAATTGCTTTCATTTGTTTTGATTTGGTTTAATCAAATTTACTGAAACTAATTGCAGTGAAGCCATTTTTAACCTTTACTACTGACCACAGCCTTTCAGCAAAAAGGTCCTGGGTTCAAATCCCAGCACAGCGTCTTCCTGCATGTTCTCTCTGTGCATGTGTGGGTTTTTCTCCAGGTACTCCTGCTTCCACTCAGTAATAAACTAAAATTTACATTTTTATTGAAATACAGGAAAAGGATCAGTAAATCATTGCAGATACAGAACATAAGGAAAAGTATGAAATGAAGACAGGCCTGCAGTTTCAAAGTTTTTGTCTTTTTTTGTTTCTTATTTGGGCTGAGCTGTATTTCTGTAAAAAAAAAAAAATAAAAAACCCTAAAAGAAAAAAAAAAAAAAAAAAAAAAAAAGTACATCTCCATCAACAAACTACGTTTGCAGACCAGACTGAGTTTGGATTTCAGGGAATACTGAAATGTAATGACACCAAAAAAATGTCGAGAAAATGAGCCGTTTATTCCACATTGATCTTCGTCTGTCTGATGATACTCACGCTCGGTCTCTCTCGCTCTCCTGCGTGCGCGCTCTCTCTCTCGCTCCCTGCGGTGGCTCAGCAGAGACTCCGTCCCCGTCTCCGTGTCCAGGCCGTCGCGGCTGCTCACTGCGTTGGCACTGCAACACACACACACACCGGGATACTTCGGTTTTTGTTTTTTTTTGTTTTTTTTTTTCAAACAACGCTGCCACACGGAGCGTTTTGAAGTAACTCTCCAGTCGACCAGCCACTCCTAAACAAAACCTCCAGCTACTGCATCCTTCTGGCTGCTACAATATCAGTTCCTGTGCCATTCGGCCGCAGGGGAATATGCTGCTCGTATCTCCACTCTGTTTCAAATTCACTCCCTCTGGGGCCAAAGTAGCAGATGCATTGTTCTGTGGTATGTGATGTGTTTCGCACTAAGTGTCATTAATGACCAGATAGCCTTAGAGGGAGCCGTTCCAGACAATGCTGGTATTAATGAGACCTATTGAAAAGCCCAGATGGTGCCTGGAGCGTGATTTGGGGAGAGACGGATGGGGAAGAGTGACAGATCACGTAAAAAGTGAGAAGTGGTAGATCAGGTGTGGGCAAAGCAACGGGCCGGCCTGTGTACTTCAGGTCTGGGAGGAGTGCGGATTGTTATTCAGTCGGTGGGCTGGAAACATGGCGGCCTCAGGCACCGGGGGTTAAGGGACTCAAACCGCCACTGGGCTCCTTGGAAACCTGAAGCTGGTGAGAACTCAACTATCTGTCACACACACTTAGGCAGGTGAGAAACACCTGCATGAACAATCGCAGGTAGAATGTGTGCATCAGTTTACTTTAATCAAACTCCAGTTTGTTTATCTAGAAAGTCCGGTTCGTTTGAGGAGGTGTGAATGCAAAATCAAACTGATGTGGACCAAAAAATAGGTCTGGGTTTGATTGAAGTGAACTCTGGTGCGATATATATATACATATAGGTCGGAAACTATTCCAAAAGCCGGAACTAGAGCACAGTGCATTCTGGGTAAATGCAATCAAAACAAACGCGAGCGTCTAATGCTAATAGGAGAAACGGCTCTTGGTCTTTTACCAAAGACAAAAGAGATCACTAAAATCTGACGCCACTCCATTTTTCTTTACATTTTGTGAAGAAGAAATTTGCGCTTGCGTCTTCTTTGGAGATTTTCCTGTCATTTCCTTATGTGATTTAAGTTGGAGCGCCACCAACAGGCGAGGTAGAGAACAGGCTAGTTTGACCCACCTCAGTGTGAAAGCGGAAAATGTAACAAATGTTACAATTTTGCTCCCCAATTGAACCGAGTCTACCGGACTATCAGGTGTGAAAACAACCTCAAATGACATCTCTCCTTCTCAAACATCACCCAGCCTTGTTTAAAAACAATCACCTCTCATAGCTCAGCAGCGGTGTGTGTGGATAATCCATGCAAATTAAACATAACAGAGCAGACAGGACTCTGCGTCTGCCGTGTTCACTCAGCGGGATGAAGAGCTCAATGGGACGTGCTCGCACGCTTCTGCTGCAAAGAGCTAATGGGTGCACCTGGCGCAGGTCAGCGCACACATGCAAATACGAACAGCGGCGCAGATTAGGCGGCAGCGAGAGGTGTCGATGGCCGCTGATCCGGGGGGAGATTATCTCAGATACAGCGGTGAACAAATGCTGCCCCTCTTTCAATATACGCCCCCTTTCGTTCTCCCCCAGTCGTCGCTGCCCCTCTCTTGGGAAATAGAGATGCGTGCTTTAATCCGGATTAGCAAGCACAGCCACATCGGTTGTGTGTCCCTTTCTCAGCTCCAAACACCTATTTTTCAAATAAAGCCATTCATGCGGACAAACACGTGAAATGCATGAATAAAAGACAAAGAAGAAATGGAGTGGTAATAATATTCAAGAGAGGTAGAAACGGCTGGATAAGCAAAGGTAACGCTGCTTTGAGGGAAAGGCCTGCCGGTAAAGAGAGAAAGAGAAAGAGAAAGAGCGAGCGCAGGAGGAAGAGGGGTGGAGGGAAATGAGGCACTGCGAGGAAGGGCTGCGTTACCAATAATGCCACAAGGTGGCAGCAGTGAAATCTGGCTGGGAACAATAAAATCATCAGCCAGGCTGACAGCCAGGCTGGGGGAGCGGTCCATAGAGGGCAAAAGCGAGCTGAGATGTCAAACAGCGGATAAAGAGACAGACTGAGACATGACAGATTGCATGTTCTCAATATAGACCCTCAGTCTTATTGCTGCAGCGTTATGACGGCCTCTGCTGCCCCGCCAGCTAATTTTAACAGCCACTTGGTGACCGGTGTGATGTTTTATAATCAGCCAGGTTTAAGTTAAAGTCTATCCCGAGGCGGCCGCGGCCCGGCTCCATTTCTGACCTTTGATGTGTTTTTGGGGGCCTGTGCGTCTTTATTAGCCGTGCAACGGATGAATGCTGAGTGACTGAACACAATGGGTCTCACTGAGAGCAAGTATTTGCCTGAAGATGTTTACGCTGCAGAGGCTATTTCAAGCATCAGCAGCCCTGACGGCGAGCGCATCATGTTTACATAGATGGCTGGAGCGACTCGCCGCTTCATGGCTGCGTGGGTGGGAGAGATTCTCACACCCGTGCCAGTCTCCAACACTCCAGGACACTTCTTCATGCTATATAATCACACCTCAGCGTGAGCAGCCACCTACACTTCCCATACGAGTCGACGACGGCGATGATGATGACTTTTAATTAGCGCATATGGACCGGCTGCAGGAGAAACGGCCCGGGCGGCGCATGGAAACATCTGCCAACACGCCTGTCTGCATGCATGCATGACATGCGACAGACAGCCTACTTACTGGAATGAGGGGGGTCGCGAGTCTCCGATGCCCCCCGTTCTTTCGAGGGGAGGGGGAAGCTCTGGGTGGCTCTCCGTGCACTGAGACCCTCCATCAGAGTGAGCGCTCTCTGCCAGGACCAGCTGAGAGGGAGCAGGAGGGAAAATGATCAGAGTTATTTCTGATTTGCAGAAAGGGCAGTCAGAGGTAATATCTATTAGGAAAAAATGATGATAACTGCAGTGGTTAGCAGTGAAAACAGGAAAATGCTTTAAAACTATGGTCTCAAAATGCTTTTACAAGACAATGATGCCATCCTTTCATCTGAACCAGAGTAGTGAAGGTTGTAGCAGAGAGCATGCACAGATTAGCAGCTGCAGGGACAATGATTACTCTTTTTTATAAGATTTATTTTTATGAGATAGTATGTTATATTACAATAACATAATTACATTATATTGCTTTTGTTTTCTTTCTTTTTTTTTCAAAAAACAGACAAAAAGAAACAAAACAAAAACAAGGTTTATCAAATATCACATCTAACAGACTTAAGGTTATTCCCTCTGAGTCCCTTTGCTCTGTGACAGAAAAGATTGTCATTATTTTAATGCAAAAAGTCGTTTTGGTGAAAGTACATTCTCACAAAGGCAGTGGAAAAGTCTTCATCCACTTTTAAGAATTCAAATTTTCAAAAAATCTGCAGCATTATCACTTCCTGCCGTGTTCTGTTTGGTCTTAGTAATTGCAGATTTCATCTGCAACTTTTCCCAGAGAACACAACCAGAATAGCAATAATGTACTTTGCTCTATTTGAATGCAGTACAACATTTCTACAACATGTGAAATTAGACATTTCTTTAAATCAGGTGGATGAATAAAAATTGACTTCCAGTGATTTTCTGTAATGAACTGAAAATCTGACAAACATAAAAACATTTTTGGAGTCAGATTCACATGAGAATCACATGTGATCACTGATGAAATGGGTCACAAGAAATCTTACACAATTTATCACGGGTTCTTAATGGAACAGATCGATTCACCAAATATTCATAAAAAACCCACATGTGACATCAGACTAATAAGAAAAAATATTTTAATAAAGAAATGTGGGCTAAATGGAAAGCATGTTTAAGAGCTGCTTGTTTTTATTTTGGAAAATTAAAAGTTCACATCTTGGTTCTCTTCATTTTAGGTAACAAACTCCTAATTTGCCAAATCAAACACCAGTGCAGGTTTCCAGATGTATGGTGATAAAACAGCTTTGTATTTAGTTGTTAACAATTTAGTACGATCAAAACTTCTTTCTAGATTTAGAGTCTGCATCAGCATCAGCTTGAAAAGTCATGTTTCATATGACAATAAAAAATGTCAATTTTCTCTTTTAAACTCTCTAAAGGTTGAGAAGCATCTCGAGATGTTAAGCAGATTTGGAAAACTTGCATGCCTTCAGACAAATCAGAGACCTTCTCCTATTTCATGCTGCAAATACCTTCATGCATTCAGTGAGTTTTCCTCCTCTTTAAATCACCGTGAAACAAGGCCACAAGCAGCACCTGCAGCAAACGTCTGAGGGACAAACAGCCTTCTATACGTGGGCTCAGCAAAACATTTCTTACTTGCAGAACTAAAACTGAACTGCAACTGACATCGGTTCAGATTAAAACTGCAACTATTTCCTAAGAAAGATCAACTATCTTTTTTTTACTACATTTGATGACAATCTGGCTGTAATTATTAATTATTTTGCTCCACTGTTTGCAAATTAGTGTCCTAATGTAATGGTACGGTTTGCTTGAGTCAAATCAGATATTCACATTTCAGTCAAATTAGTACGTCTCTGCTTGCAGTACAAGTAAATTCTGTATTTGCAAGCAAAACCCTGCAAAATACTTTATAGACGCTGTTCTGCAGTTCCTCTGTGTAAAGTTTTAAAGAACTGTCTCCAAAAATGGGACAATAGAAGCAACAAAAATGATTACACTACAGCTCAGAAAAAGAGAAAATACAGTACATAAATGTAGTGTATCAGATAAAACCAACCAAATAATACGCAGAAGACAAGAAATTTTGTATTAAGAAAAATATTTATGGTTTAGCAGCAGAAGTTCTGCTTTAAGTATAATTTAAATGACATAAAGGAGATATGAGAAATTATAGCTAAGAGTTATCAATATCTGTTAAATTTTGAGTGAACTATTGAAGACACTTCACACACTAGTTATCCAATAATAATAATAATAATAATAATAATAATAATAATAATAATAATAATGAATGCTGAAACCTTTAAGCTATTTTTTAAAAGGTCAATAACAATCTCAGAAATATTTCTCTTTGCAATGAGAAACGTTTTGAAAAACATTAAAATGACATGTTACCAGAATGAGCCTTCATTTGGGCTCTTAAACTGTAAAGTATTTTGAATAAGATTACTGCAAAAGCATCTCTATATTTTTTCACCAAGTAACGAGGCGCCGCCCCTCCCCGAGCTGTTGCTACGTACCGCCGGTCAGCGGCAGAAAAAGGCTCCACCACTTTTCTCTCACTTACCAGAAACGGTGTGGAAACTAAAGAAGTGCCACAAATTACTTTTTGAAGATATCACTGTTTACAAAATTACAGTTAGGCGAAATATTTGTAAAGAAGCTCACTGTATGCTAACTAGCTAATTACGCAAATAAGTCAGCTAATTAATAAGTATCATCTTGTAATACTGTATTATTTTCCGCTCAATAAGAAACTAAAAACTACCAGATTTAATGGCCGTTTACTCTACATCTTCCTAATGTGTAATTATTAATCCTATTAACCCTTATTAGTCCTAAACGTAGCGCCGACAACCAAGGCAAAGTGGCAGTACCGTAATTCCACCACACTTTGCGCAATCTGAAAAATTCCAGCGGTTTCTGAAAGGGGAGATGTTGCGCTTTCCAGCCAATATTGAGTTATTACGGTAATTTCACCCCCGCAGTAGCAGGAAGTGAAATTAATCTGAGCATAGACATAAATATAAAGATAGACGCCTATTGTCGCTGACGAGATTTAGGGCGGCCATCTTGGAGCGGTCCACCACTCCACTCAGCTTTATGTGTTTAGCAGGCAC